ATAAGGATTTATTGTGCCTACTATGTGCTAGGCACTGTGCATTAAATGCTGGGGATGCAATGAAAGGCAAAAGCATTCTCTGCTCTCACAGAGCTCGATATTGAATGGGAGAAACAACGTGCAAACAACTATAAATAAAAAATAAAATATACAGGATAAACTGGAGATGATGTCATGATGTCAGATGGAAGGTGTAGGTCTCCTAAGTGAATTGGGAAAGACTTCTTCAAGAAGGTGGGATTTTAGCTGAGGCCTGAAGGAAGCTAGGAAGTAGAAATGAGGAGGGAGAGGAATCCAGGCACAGGGGACATCCAGGAAAAATGTCAATGTGTTGAGATTATTTGCAGAGCGTTAAAAGCTTAGAAAGGGAGGGGGTATGGAGGGTTTTAAAAGCCAAACAGTGGACTCTACAGTTGATCCTGGAGTGGATAGGGAACCCCTGGAGTATATTGAATGGGGGCTGACACGATCAGACTTGCACTCTTGGGGAGTCAGTATGACAGCTGAGCAGAGGATGGATTGGAATAGGGAAAAAACTTGTGGGAGTAACCAACCAGTGGGCTATTGCATTTGTCCAGGTGTGAGGTGTTGAGGGCTTGCACCAAGGTGGTGGTGGTATTAAGGGAGAGAAGGGGGAACATAAGAGAGATGTCATGAAGACAGAATCAACAGGACTTGGCAATATGGCTTCAGGGAGGTGACAGAGTGAGGTCAAGCGTATAAAATGGGGATAATAATAGCATCAGCCTCTCAGGGTTGTTGTGAGGATACAATAAGATAATATTTGTAAGACACTTTGCAAACCTTGAAGTAATATATAAATGCTAGTTATAATAATAATAATTATTATTATTGTTACCTAGGCAATGAGAATGAGATCAAGGAAGACACTTTGGTGGCAAGCCTGGGTAACTAGAAGGATGGTGGTCTTCTTGACAGTAATAAAGAAGTTAGGAAGAAGGAAGGGCTTGGGGGGAAAGAGAATGAATTCAAGTTCTGGACATGTTGATGCCTATGGGACAGCCAGTTAGAGATGTTCAACAGGCATCTCACACTGAATACCAAAATAAGCTCAAAATGAGTATATGATTTAGAGATAATGAGTGATATCATCAGCAAATTAGAGGAGCATGGAAAAAAGTTACCGGTCAGATCTATGGATGAGAGAAGAATTCACAATCAAACAAGGGATAGAGAGAATCATGGGAGATAAAATGGATAACTTTGATTACAAGAAGTTAAAAAGTTTTTATACAAACAAAACCAATGCAGCCAAAAAGACTAGAGATCAGGAGAGGGGTTAGGGTTGCATGAAGAGATCTAAGAGTCATCTGCAGAGAGACGATAATTTAATCCATAGAAGCTGATGAGATCATCAAGTGAAACAGTGCAGAGGCAGAAGAGAAGAGGCCCAGAACAGAACCTTTGGGGGCACTTACAATTTAGTAGGTACAACCTGGATGAAGATCCAGCAGAAAGAAACAGAGACAAGCAGAAGGAGAAATAGGAGAGAACAGTTTTGCAAAAACCTTGAGAGAGGAGAGTATTGAAGAGAAGAGAGTGAGCTATAGGATAAAAGGCTTCAGAGATGTCAAGAAGAATGAGGATTGAGGAAAGGTCATTGACTTTGGCCTTTAAGAGATCATTGGTGATTTTGGACAAAACAGATGCAATTGAATGATGACATTGGAAGCCAGGGTGTACGGAGTTAAGAAGAGAGTGAGAGGAAGGGAAGTGGAAACACTTCAGCTACAAAGGAGAAAAAGAAGTGATGAAGAATGCTAGCTAGTGGGGACAGATCGATCAAGGGAAGGCTTTTTGAGTATGAGCGAAACAGGGATGCATTTGGAGGCATCAGGGAAACAAGCCAGTGGTCAGAGAGAGATCAAAGATTAGTGAAAGAATGGGGATGATGGAGCACACAATCTAACGGAGAAGGTGGGACAGAGCAGGTCATCTGTGCATGTAGAGGGGCTTGCCTTGGCAGGAAGAAGGGCTGTGCTTTCACGTGAGACAAGAGGGACTGGGGCATTTGAGTGGTGCGATATGAGGAGGGGGGAAGAGGAAGCTCTTGGTGAATGGCCTGAATTTTTTAATTGAAATGTGAGGCAAGTTTCTCAGCTAAAAGAGTAGGGGGATAGGGCTCCCAAAGGGACCATGTCACAGAAAAGCTTAAGAACCCATGCACTAGACATACCCACATAAATCGTCAGCATGTCTATATATTACCAACAAAACAGAGAGAGTAAGACAAATTCCATTTAAAATAACTGCAGACCATATAAAACACTTTGGAATCTAACTGCCAAGACATATACAGGAACTACATGAACACAATCACAAAACACTCTTCACGCAAATGAAGACAGATCTAAACAACTGAAGAAATATTCATTGCTCATGGCTAGGGCAAACCATTATAATAAAAATGACAACACTACCTAAGTGAAATTATTGATTCAGTGCCATACCCATCAAACTACCAAAGAATTATTTTAGAGAGCTAGAAAAAAATAACAAAATTCATCTGGAATAACAGAAGTTCAAGAGTATTAAGGGAATAAATGAGAAAAAAAATTAAGGAAGGTAGCCGAGCAGTATGTAATTTCAAACTATACTACAAAGTAGTAAATCATCAAAACAATGTGAATAAGAAATAGAGTGGTTGATCAATCAAATAGGTTAGGTACACAATATACAGAAATAAATTTGCTCAGTAACCTAGTATTTTATAAACTCAAAGATCCCAGCTACCGGGGCAAGAATTCACTATTCGACAAAAACTGCTGGGAAAGCAGTCTGGCAGAAATTAGGCACAGGCCAGCATCTCACACTGAATACCAAAATAAGCTCAAAATGAGTATATGATTTAGAGATAATGAGTGATATCATAAGCAAATTAGAGGAGCGTGGAAAAAAATTTACTGGTCAGATCTATGGATAAGAGAAGAATTCACAATCAAACAAGAGATAGAGAGAATCATGGGAGGTAAAATGGATAGCTTTGATTACAAGAAGTTAAAAAGTTTTTATACAAACAAAACTAATGCAGCCAAAATCAGAAGGAAAGTAGGAAACCTGGGGAAAATTTTATAGCAAAAGCCTCTGATACAGGCTTCCTTTCTCAAATACATACGGAACAGAGCCAAATTTATAAAAATAAGAGCCATTCTCCAACTGATCAATGGTCAAAGGATATGAACAGGCAGTTTTCAGAAGACGAAATCAAACCTATCTGTAGTCATATAAAAAAAATGTTCTAAAACCTTAATAATTAGAGAAATTAAGATTAGAACAACTCTGAGGTACCACCTCACACCCATCAGACTGGCTAACATGACAAAAAAGGAAAATGACAAGTACTAGAAGGGATGTGGAAAAATGGGTACATTAATGCATTGTTGGTGGAGTTGTCAATGGGTCTAACTATTTGGGAAGAATAGCTACCCTATGCCCGAAGGGCTATAAAACTGCGCATACCTTTTGACCTAGCAATACTGCTGCTAGGTCTGTACCCCAAAAAGATTAAAGAAAAGGAAAAGAACTCACATGTATGAAAATAGTTATAGCAGCTCTTTTTTTTTAAAGCTTTTTTTTTGTTGTTTTGGTGAGGCAATGTGGTTAATTGACTTGCCCAGGGTCACACAGATAGTAGGTATCAAATGCCTGAGGCCAGATTTGAACTCACGTCCTCCTGACTCTAGGGCTGTAGCAGCTCTTTTTCTGGTGGTAAATAATTGGAAATTGAGGGGATGCCCATCAATTGGGAAATGGCTATGGTATAGGATTGTGATGGAATACTATTGTGCTAGAAGAAATGACAAGGGGAATAGGCTCAGAAAGGCTTGAAAAGACTTATATGAGCTAATGCAAAGTGAAGTGAGAAGAACCAGGAGAATATTCTATACAGTAACAGCAATGTTGTAATGATGATCAACTGTGAAAGACTGAGATACTTTAATCAATACAATGACCCGTGATAATTTCAGAGGACTCATGATGAAAAGTGCTCTCCACCTCCAGAGATGAACTCTGTGTGCAGATTAAAGCATACATTTTTTCTTTCTTTATTTTTCTCGCATTTTTTCCTCACCATGAACTAATATGGAAAAATGTTTTGCATGACTTTGAATATGTATAATGGGTATTATATTTCTTGCCTTATCAATGAGTGGGAGAGGGGATGGATGGGGGGGAAAGAATTTGAAACTGAAATTAAAAATGAAAAAAAAAGAACTCCTGGACTAGATGGTCTCTACGGTTCTTTTCACTTTAAATGAGGCGCTAGTTGGCTCAGTGAATTGAGCACTAGGCATGGAGTCTGGAAGACCTGACCTCTCTTTTTCCCAGTTTCCTTATCTTTAAGATAGAGATAATAATAGTACCTAGGGTTGTTATGAGGATAAAATGAGATATTTTAAAAACTCTTTGTGACCCTTAAAGCACTATAGAAATGCTAACTAGGATTATTAGCTAAATCCCATTTCTTGCAGAGGAGTGTCAAAAACAAAGAATCTCAAAGTAGGAAGGGATGTTGGTGGTCGATTGGGCTAAACTGTCCTTGAAATAGAACCACTCCCACAACGTATCTGACAAGTGGTCATCCAACTCCTGTTTGAAGACCTCCCTGAAAGAACACCCACTGATTCCTGGGGCAGCCAATGTCACTTATGAACAATTCTAGTTCTTTGGAAATTTTCGTTGTCAATCTAAAACTGGCTTCTTTGCAGCCTGCACTCCCGGCTCCTGGCTCTTACTTCTGGGCCCAACAGAATGAGGCAAATCCTTCTTCCACCTGACAGCCTTGATGGCAGCTATCATAGCATCCCCGAGTTCTCTCTTCTCCAAATAAACATTTTCAGTCTTTGTAACTACCCCTCCTGATCTCCGGTCTCTCCACCAACCTGGCTGCTTTCTTGTGGCTGCTCTCTACCCCATCGGTGCCCTTTCTGAAACACACCACCCAGAATGGAGCCCAGTCTGACCAGTGAGAAACTGACCTTGCCCAGTTGTAAGTCGGAGATGGAGCAGGCATCAATAAAGGCCTGTGCGATGACAGAAAGACAGGCATCTATGTGGTCAGTTTTGTCGATGTCGAAGACAAACTGGGGGTTCTTCAGAATGTTGACCCAGAATCTCAGAGGTAGGCTGTCATGGAAGAAAGTGTAGGAGAGTGAAAAACAGAGGCAGGGAGGGGCCTGGCCCACCCACACTGTGCTAGTCTGTTGGCTAGAAGAGAGAGAAGAAGCCAGGGGATGAGAAGGGAGTCTGGGAAGGGGGGCAGCAAGGTTGAGTGTTTGATCTTTTTATGACAATGTGGGATTACTTAAATCTGGCTGATGAGTGAGACAGGGGTGGGGGGGGGTGTATCAGGGCAAGATCCTTTCCCTTCCTCTGGCAGACAGCTGTGTGAGAGAGGCCCGTCCATCATGTCCTTGGACCACAGACAGAGTAGCCTTCATCGCTGGCTCTATTAGAAATTACCCTCCATCCGTGTCTGATCAGACTTCCCTCCACCTGGCACACATCCCTTCTATGGATGAAAGAAGGTGGGGTTAAAAAGGACAGCATCAGAGGAAAGCCTCACTGGGGGGCCAGTGGGACCTGCTGTTCACTGAGAGATCTGGGAGAATCTGTCCTGCATCACCTGTTCTGAGTTACCAGCTACAAGGCCCTAGGGATGCTCCTGGATTTCAGTGTGATCCTTTGATCTCTCCTCTCTCCAAAGGTAAGATGAAAAACATCCTTCTGCCATGTGACTGCTCGCTAGCCCAACACAGGCTACAATCCCACCACCCCTTAGAAGACTTTTCATAAATTGTCATGACTGTAAAAAACAGACAAACCCATCACCCGAGGACCAGCCTTCTGGGGAACGAGCACTAAGCAAGGCTGGTTATCAGATGCCGGACACACAGGCCATGGTGGGACCTGTACTTGATAGCTTTCCAGCTTGGTGTGACTTGCCATTAGCATGGTATTGGCTACTGGCCTGGCCTTCGAGATGTTAGATTCTCCCTGTGTCCAGAAAAGGGATTTGGTAGCAGATGGAAATCTGAATGTCTTTGAGGTTCCCGGAGGTTGTGGGATGTGTGAAGGAGGCAGCGTGACTGGAACCTTCCTATCTTTGTCTGCCCTCTCACAGATGCATTCGGGGGGTATTCTGGCAGAAGCCATTCTAAGAGAGATGCTCTGTTTAGGGTACTGAATTCATGGGATATTAGCTCTAGAGATGGAAGGTCCCTCAGGGACCACTGAGTCCGACCCTTTAATTTGACAGAGTAGGAAACTGAGGCCCATAGAGATTGGCTTTCCATTGTATCATAATGCTGCTTTCTGATTGAAGATGCCCGTGGCTGTGTCCCCTTTGCCCCCAACTTCTCCCTATAAGCACTGCCTAGCCTTAAGTATGGAGGAGTCACTGGAGATTTAACAGGCCCTGAATGGTCTCATTTCTTCCATCTTAGACACTCAATGGTCACCATGGCAACAGGCAGGCTTTGACCCAGGTACTTAGAAACCAAAGTGGCCCTAGATTCTGCTATTAACCCCCCGACACCCAATTCCTCTCAATGCCATGCTTAGATACTCTTCTACTTTTAATTAAGGAGTGGTACCTCCCACCCCCACTTTCTTTCCTTCCATTGTGCATGGCAAGGAGCCTCAGAATGGGATCAACTGGGGATATGCCTGGGATTCACACCCTGAGCATGCTCATAAGGACTTAATTTAATTTGGTTCATGTTGACAATGATAAAAATAACAATGATGATGACGATGATCCCTGGATGATCCCACAGCTCTTAAGGCACAAGGAACTTGCCCGCCATTTGGGAGATCAGCAGGGCAGAGATGCCTTTTACAAAGGGGAAAACTGAGGCTCATAGAAGGGAAGAGAGGAACCTGGGGTCACACAGCAAGGGCTGGAGTGGAAAGAGCAATGAACTGGGGGCTAAAGGGAACCAGGTTCTGGTCCCAGCTCTGCCCCTAAACAAGTCACTTTATCTCTCTCTGGGCCCCTGTCCCCATCTCTGTAAAACAAGATTAAGAGTCCTTGTTTCATGTCATGGACCCCTCTAGCAGTCTGCTAAAGCCCATGGACCCCTTCTCAGAATGATTTTTAAAAAATATTTGAAGGAAAGACTCAATTTCAGTTAGAGCTGAGTGAAAATAAAATGTAATTTTTCCTGTGGATCCCCTGAAATCTACCTACAGACAGTGAACCTCAGTTTAAGAATCCCTGGAGTAGGCGATATTTGATGTCCTTTCCAGCTTCAACAGTGTCTCAACCTCCAGCCAATTAGCAGCAGAACTGCGACCCAGGCCTTCTGTCCAGTTTTTTTTTCTCTTGTGTAGTCTTTCCTCTCATCTCCCCTAGCAGCTAGTGCAGAGAAAGTGTGAAATTCCTCTGCTGATTTGTATTTTCTGGGTTGTGTACATGTGGAGCCTCTCAGTAGAATGTAAGTTCCTTGAGCACAGAGACTGCTTTACTTTCTGTCTTTATGGTCCTCCTCCCCCTCTTCTCCTCCCCCCATATGCCATGTCCCATCTAGTCCAGTACCTGGGACAGGGTAAGTAAGCATTCAGTAAATGTTTGTTGATTAGAGCTGCATTGAGTGAATGAATAGATTTATAAACTGGCCTGGGATAGTGTTGGAGGCAGGATGGGGAGTAAGAGAGGATAGTGGTCAGGTCAGATCAGATTCCAGAGCAGCACTCCCTTCAACCACCCCCCCCCAGACCTGTTGGTTTTCCAAATGTGCAAAGTGTCTGGATCCGTGATCCCTCTCTTCTCAGCCTGCTCTTCCAAGAAATCAAAGAAATACTTGATGGCCAAGGGAGGCTTGTCCTCTCGGATACTGAGGATGGCTTTGAACAGGTCGTCGAGAAATTTCTGCAGTGTGCCCTGCCAAGATAACAAGTGTGCCAGCTGAATCAGCCTGGTGCCCAGGTCAGCTGGACACCTCGGGGGTAAAACACATTTGGGATTTAATGAGGTTCTGTTTGCTTGCCAGATTCACATGGTTTCAGGAAGAAGGGAGAGAGAATTGAAGGGAAGTGAAATCTACTCTCCCCCCTCTCCCCCCACCCCCACCCCCTGCCGCCTCTCGTCTGAAAGCTGGGCACGCTGATATAATTAGCATTTGTTTTAATTTAATTTCTCTTGGCACCAATGTTCTCTTTGACTACTTCTGGCATCTCAGGACACATCTGTAATTGTTTGGTACAGTAAATGGAACAGAAAACTCAGCCACGGCTTGCTGTTCTGATGGTCTCTCCAATTATAAAGAACATTAGGCGGTAATGTAATCCAGGGGAGAAACAAGGCATACCTTTTGTGATCTGCAGTGAGTGGGAGAGAGCACTGCGGCTGGATAATCATACACTCTCATCTGAGGGACTTCAAAGCATTTTTTCCCCTAGTATCCTTCACATATTTCCCATGGAAGAAACTGTTGCATAAGAGACACTCCCTATTTTCCAAAAGGGAGGGGGGACCCAACCCTCAGCTCAACCTAACCCTTCCTCAGTTATGCAAGGTTCCTGCCAGTGGGCACCAATACCTCTAGTAACAATGAGAATGACATCCCTCAGGTTGCCAGAGAGTCTAATGCTTTCCAGAGGGCTCTTACATCCATCACCTTGTTTGATTTTCATAAGAAGACTGGGTGGGATGCTGTCAGAGTGGGGTGGTGGGAAAGCCCTAACCTTGTAGCCAGCAGAGACCTAGGCTCAAATCCCACATCTGACTTTTACTACCTGTGTAACCATCTCTGTTTCCTCATTTGTAAAATGGGGAAAGGTGATCTTAGGATCACAGATTTATAGCTGGCAGGGGCCCCAGAGGGCATCTAGTCTATACTTTACCTTTCAAAAATAATTTTTTTTTCTGATGAGGAAACTGAGGCCCGGAGAGGCCGGTGATTGTGTGAAAATCACACAGGAATTAATCTATCAACAGATATTTATTAAGTAGCTACTATGTTAGGCAATGGAGAAACAAAGGCAAAAGTGAAATCAGTTTTGTCCTCAAGAAGGTTACATTTCAAGGGAATCTATGTATCCAGAGATACACACACACACACACACACACACACACACACACACACACACACAGGGCAGTAAGTTCCAGAAGCAGGATTTGAATCCATGATCTCTGGATGTAGATACAATGCTCTTTCCAGTGTACCACAAGGTTGTTGTGAGAATCAAATGATATAATGGATAGAAAGCATTTGATTAATCTAGCTGGGCCAATAGGAAGGTCAGCTATTATTATCTTACAGACAAAGTACCAGAGGCTCATGTAGGTGGTATGACTCTGCCTTGGGACAGAATTAGGACTGGAATCTGAGATAGCAATATCTGTCCATGATAACTGTTATAGCTACTGTGTGCTATAAAAGCCAGGAGGTTTCATGGTAATAGACAGAGGTTCAGTGAGAGGATATCTAATACATAAACCATCCCAAATCTTCATGAATTTGCATAAGCCATTCCTCATGCCTGAAATGCTGTGCTTTCTCACCTCCACACCTAGAAACTGCTAAGTCCATTTAAATCTCAGCTAAAGTGCCACCTCCTACAAGAAGTCCTCCTTGATGCCTCCTCCTTTTAGGGCTGCCCCTAAAATAATTTTGTATTTACTGTATCTCCTGACTAATTGTTAATGGGAAGCATACCAGTGGGGGCTCATGAGATAGTAATAGTACGAGATAGAAGTACTCCAGCACCTAGGGAGTAGCAGCCACCTAATCTCCCAGTTTGAGTACAAGTTTGGGGAGCAGCCCAGAGGAGGGTGATCCACTCCCTCCCAAGTAGAATGTAATCCCCTTCTTATTTTTGTCTTTGTTTCTCCAGCATCTAGCACAGTGCCTGGCACATAGTAGGTGCTTAATAAATGCTGATTGAATTGAATTGGCTTGAAACCATGTCAGAGACTGAGTAAGGGTTCTGATGGTCATTCCAGCTCTTACCTTGGTGGAGAGCAACCTAGTCAAATAGATCTCGGGAAGAACCTTCTTCCTATGGCTCTGCTTGTGTGACTTCTTACTCTCAATCAGCTCATCAGTAGGAAGCACCTGAGTAAATGTGACAAGAAGAAGAAGAAGAAAGAAGAAGAAGAAGAAGAAGAGGAAGAAGAAGAAGAAGAAGAAGAAGAAGAAGAGGAAGAAGAAGAAGAAGAAGAAGCCATCACTCTTATGGGCTGGAACGTCTTGAGAATGAGCAGCGGCATCAAAATCAAAGACTCAACTTTTGTTATTGCCCTCCAACCAACACTGAGGATGCACAACAGATGAACTTATTCAAGCTCCTCTTTCTGTGGATAATTCCTTCTTTACTCCCTCAGCCTTCAAGACCCACCTTGTTCTGCCTCCTCCAGGAAGCCTCTCCTGCCTCCCCCAGTCCATGCGAATCACTCCTAAGGCACTTCTAGTCTCTTCTGGGGGCATGGAGCATATAGTGGATTACACTGATTTTAAAAGAGAATATGAGTACATGTCTCATCTCCTCAATTAGATTACACATTCTTTGGAGCAGACTGTTGTCTTAGAAATCTTTGTATTCCTCCCAACTACCTAATACTGGGCCTCCACCTGAGATGATTTTCCTACTTATCTCAGGATAAACAGAGAGGGAGGTAGCCAGACTACGTATTAAGTGCTTACTGTGTGCCAGGCACTGTGCTAAGATACACAGATTTGGAGCTATGGGTAACCTTGGCGGCCACCAAGTCCAATACTTCCCCCCATTTTACAGATGAGAAACTGAGGCTCAGAGGAATCAAGCCTTAGGTCATATGGTATCTAGGTGGAGCGGAGGACTTGGAGTCAGGGAGACATGATTTCAAAACCTGCTGCAGAAACTTATTAACTATGGTAACTCTGGACAAGTCATTAGCCTTTCTCAGCCTCAGTTTCCTCCTCTGTAAAATGGGGATAATAACAACCCCTACCTCACAGGATAGTTGTGAGGATCAAATAAGATAACATACATAAAGCATTCTGCAGACACTTACGTAGTATGTCGGCAACTAGGTGGCACTGTGGCCTCAGAGTCAGGAGGTCCTGAGTTCAAATCTGACCTCAGGTACTTATTAGTAGTGTGACCCTGGGCAAGTTACTAAACCCTACTTGCCTCAGTTTCCTCATTTGTAAAATGAATTGGAAAAGGGAATGGCAAACCATTCAAGTATCCTTGCCAAGAAAACCTCAAATAGGGTCGTGAAGAGTCAGACACAACTGGAAAACGACTCAACAGGAAGTCCAAACTCCTCCTTTTATGGATGAGGAAACTGAGTCACAGAGTGTTTACATGATTTTCCCAGGGTTCTAAGAATACTGGAGCATAGATTTAGAGCTGGAAGGGACCCCAGAGGCCGGCGGGTTCACTCACCTCATTTTACAAATAAAATGACTGAAGCCTGAAGAGGTCAAAGTCTTGCCCACAATTATACAGCCAAGGACAGGATTGGAGCCCAAGTCTCCCTGACTCCAAGCTCAATGCTCTATGCACAAAAACCCTGCTGCTTTCTTAGTCTGGCATTCAAGACCTTCCATAATGTAGTTCTAAACATTCTCTCTCTTTCATTGTTCCTTTTCACATGCCCTATACTCCAACCAACTCGATGACTGGTCATTCTCTGAAGGTGGCTCACACTTTCCAGCCTCAACACCTTTGATCGCACCATTCTTTCTTTTTTCTTTCTTAGGCAATTGGGGTGAAGTGACTTGCCCAGGGTCAGACAGCTAGTAAGTGTCAAGTGTTTGGTCTGAGGCCGGATTTGAACTCAGGTCCTCCTTACTTCAGGGCCGGTGCTCTTTCCACTCCACCACCTAGCTGCCCTGCACCATTCTTTCTTGCTAGAATATTCTCCCCTCCCATCTCTGCCTGGCAAAAACCCCTGCCTTCTCCAGGAATCCCGCTTTGATTTCCCCATCAGAAAGTGATCTCTCTGTCCTCTGATCACCGATGACAAGTGGTTCGTGTGTGTCTTGTGGTGCTCAGTATGGACTGTCTGCAGTTAGCTACACCTTATTCCCTGCCTCAGAAGTCTGTGAGAGCAGGGACGACATCTTCATCTTCTCTCCACCTTCTATAGCTTCCAGCGCACGAGCTCACAAAGAGGAGGCGTCTGGTACACGCTTGCTGAGTTTGGGGATTTTCTTCTGACCCGTCATCACACCCTTCTCCCACCTCCACCCAGCTCTTCCTTAGGTAGCATAGAAACCAATGCCACAAGGTTCTGTGATTTCATCATAATCTAGAGGTGGGAAGGACCTTGGAGGCCTCCCTCATTTTATAGATGAGGAAACTGAGGCACACAGCAGTTAAGTGACTTGCCCTAGGTCACCCAGGTAATGAGTGGCAGAGCTGGGACTGAACCCATGTCCTAGAGTTCCATCTCTGGTATTCTTTCTACTGTACCATGCTGTCTCCAAGTTGCAGGCTGCTTTACAATTGTCCTTAGGTCTTTCCTGTGTGATGGACCTGGCTTCTCAGCTAGACTGTAAGCTCCCTCCATTCTGCCTTCTCATCCCCTGTCCCTTTGGCAGGCCAAGGAAGCAGCTGAAGAAGGTGAGGGGTAGTAGGGGAGTAGAAAGCCCTTTTGGGACAGTATCCAGGTAACTAACTGATTTATTCTCCAGTGCAGACTATAGTGAAGTATGCCCCTCCCCATCAGGTAACCTTTCCTACCAGCTTCAAAGGAAGGGAAATAAGTCCACATAGGGAAAAGGGAATTTGCCCAAGGCTGGCCTATGGGAAGGCGCACAGCAGCGGAAGGGCCCTTCTGCACATGTTTTTCACTTGCTCTCTCTGCTCTTTGCAGATCCCAAACCTCGGCTCCTCCTCCAACACCCACCACCCTTGGGGTGGGGGCAGGGGGAGGGCAACCCATCGAAGGCGGCAAGAACAAAGCGTCTCCCCCTCGGCTCCCTTCTGGCCCCTCGGCGGCCTGATCACAGGCCATCCGGCCCCCCAGACAAACTCCCTTGTCTGTTCAGACACATGGAAAGCATTCTCCCTACCCTGCCCCTGACGCTGCCTGGGGTCACAGCCTCATCACCCCCTAATTAAGCGGGGAAAGACTGAAGTTGCCGCCTGCGCCCCATTAGCGATTCATGCTTTTTGCTAGCACAACAAAGGGCTGATGGTCCGGATGGCGAAGGGGTATGTGTGAATGTGTGAGGGAGTGAGCCTGGGTGTGAATGTGTGTGTGTGTGTGTGTGTGTGTGTGTGTGTGTGTGTGTGCATGTATATACGTGCACACCCATGTATACACACACACAGAGATTCATTGTGTGTCTCTGCCACTCCTCACCAATACAGTGTGCTTGGGAGCTGGGCTCGTTCCAGAGCGAAATTTCCTATAGAGGAAATGGGAGGAAAGAAACCAAAAGACGAAGACAAGACTTCTGGCCACACACTGAGCACACTGTTATTAACCTCAATTGCTTTTGGAATCCGATACTTACTAAATGAAAATATTTTTCAGTGTCCAAATCCTTCACTGCAAAAGAAAAAAGTCAAAACAAAGTATAAGAGAGAGAACAAAAGAAAGGGAAAAGGAGGCTGGGTAGATTAGATTTTGCTCCCCTCAGCTACTTGTCTCAACAGCGCCCACTGCCTGGCTTGCCAGCTGGTAGAGGGTATTGGGGGTAGGAGGTGGTATTTTTACAAGGAGCCTCTCAGTACTAAGTGGATCATGAGATTGTAGATTCAGAGCTAAAAAGGAACTGAGGGGGCAGTTAGTCCAACACCCTCATTTTACAGATGAGAAAACTGAGGCCCAGGAAGGCTGTGACTTGGCTAAGGTTACACAGATAGAAAGCAATCAGAGGCAAGATTTGAATTCAGGTCCTTTGACTCCACAGTCCATGTTCCTTTTACTTCACCGTGAGGTCTTTCCTTTGGGAAAAGGCAGAGATAACTCCCCCCAGCTGTGGGATGAGCAAACCGAGAGACCAGGGCCATGAGGTACCATCATCAGGGAAGTAGCTCCAGATTGAAGGTCTGGCTGATGGGTCAGGGAGGAGTTTTAAGTCTAGCTTTGGCCTCCCACTGGGGCCCACCCGGGGAGGGCTGAGAACCACTGCTTCCTCTTGAACTGCATCTCATTTTCTTTTAGTTAATGAATGAATGTGTCAACCAATCAACAAGCATGTACACCTACTATGCGCTATGGTTCTGGGGATAGGAAACCAAACGTGAAATAGTCCGTGACCAACTTCTTCTCCTCACTCCCACACTCCACTGCCAGCCTGCAAACAGCCCACTGTCTTCTTACATTTTAGGAATGAGAAACTGAGGCCCAAGGACAAGTAAGTTGCCCAAGGGTCACAAAGCTACTAAATGTCAGTGGCAGGATTTGAACCCAGGTCTTCGAAGTCAGTGCTCTTTCCACTGTACCACACTGTCTCCTCCTCCTCCTCCATCATTGTCAGTAGTAGTAGTAGTGGAATTTAGGCAGAGAAACCTCGGGTCTATTTCAAATCCAGCTGGCAAAGTCTGACTCTTCTCCTGAGCCACTCCCCATCATTAGCGCTCTGTTCAGCAATAGCATGACTTCATGAGCCCAGGGCAGAAGGGAAAGCCGTGGTCCTAGAGCCCAGGGCTTCCACCCAGAGAGGCCAAGGCAGGAAATTACCTCGACTTAGCGCGCTGTCCTTCTTGTCTGTTAGGCTCATGGCCAGGGAAGCTCCTTCAGGGATCTGGAGGAAAGAAGCAAAGCTATGAGAGTCAAAGCCCGGGATGGCCGGGCACTGCGCCAGCCCTCTGGGGTGCTGGAAAACCCAAATCAGTCACACTGGGCACGTGCCCATGGGGAAGCAGCCCAGAGATGGGCACACAGCCAAGACAGAGAGCCACACGGGAGGTGAATGATGGGGCTCTGACCAAGGCAGGGGAGCTCAAGGGCCTGAAAGGCCAGAGCTCAGGGTATGGGGTAGGAGGTTTTGAGAGGGGAAGCCTGGAGGGACAGAGCTCAGGACAGGTTGGGGGGGGTTTTAAGAGAGAGGGTCTTGGAGGTGTAGAGCTCAGGGTATGGGGTAGGAGGTTTTGAGAGGGGGGGCCTGGAGAGCCAAAGTCCAGGGAGGGGTGGGGATTTTGAGAGAGGAAGCCTGGAAGGACAGAGCTCAGGACAGGTTGGGGGGGTTTTAAGAGAGAGGGTCTTGGAGGTGCAGAGCTCAGGGTATGGGGTAGGAGGTTTTGAGAGGGGTGGCCTGAATGGCCAGAGCTCAGGGTGGGGTAGGAGGTTTTGAGAGGGGGGCATGAAGAGCCAGAGCTTAGGATAGTTTGGGAGGATTTCAGAGAGGGGGAATCTTAAGGGCCAGAGTTCAGGGTGGGGTGGGGGGTTTTAAGAGATAGGGCCTTGAGGGTGCAGAGCTCAGGGCACGGGGTGGGGGAGGAAGGCCTTGAGGGGCTTAGCCCAAGGCAGGGAAAGGGGAGTGAGTAGACAGGAAGAAGGAGAGTTGGGGCTGCCTTACCTTGTAATGTGCCAAGGTGTTGAGCTTTTTTCGGCCATCTTCTACCACAGAAGTGTCATCCAGGTCTCGTAGAATGTAACTGTGGGTGCTTGAAGCAAACCACTCTAAAGAGAGAGATGTGGGGGGTGGAGACCAGGTCGGGTTGGGGCAGGAAGGCTGGGGAGGTAAGGGTCAAGTTCCATTCTGACCATTATGGGATAGTCTCTCTTCCCAGCTCTTCCTTCCATATTAAGTCTGGGTTCTATTATCCTGTATGTTCTTGCATTGCTTTGTCATTATTCTTATGTCTTCCCTGAGTGCTAGCCTTGGTTTTGCCTTCTGTATTATAAGATCTTCATGGGCACAGCTGCTTGCATAGCTTTGGAATCATCCCACTCACCCCTACTCCCCCACTCCCACTTGCCCACAGGCTTGATGGTGAGCTCTCCAGGTGGGAGATTGTCGGGATATGCTTCCCCAGTGCCTGAGGGGTCCTTTCCCCTCTTTAGAGCCACAACCTGGACTCTTAAGAAGCCCTTAGGACCCTCGACAGATAATGGGCTTGAGTGGCTCCTACTGTCTCTGGTAGTGGAGAGAGTGATAGTGATGGGTGGGCTAAAGGAAGTCTGGATCAAAGAAGAAGAACTGAGAATCACAGTGATGGATGGGAAATTGAGGAAGGAGAGGAAAGTGGGGAGACCACATGGGGGAGGGGGTAAAGTACTGGGGCTTAAGCATTGAGAAAAGAACTATAGATTGTTAGAACTGGACAGACTAGAGAACACAGGGCATTAGAGCCAGAGGGACCTCAGCAAACATCTAGACCAGGAGTTCCTAACCTTTCATCCATGATCATGTTGGTCTTGTTTTATTTTTTAATAGCTATTTCAGTACAATTGGATTCATTTGTAATCCTTGTAATTATGATCTGCATTTCATTTCATGCATGTAAAAACATGATCCTGAGTAGGAATCCACAGGCTTCACCAGAGGGACTGCCCAGGGGTCTATGACACAAATGAAATTAATAAAACCTTGACCTCGTCCAACTTTTTTATTTGACAGGTAAAGAAACTGAAGCCTGGAGAGATAAAATGTTGTGCCCAAGGCCACAGTCAGAGTCACAGAATCTCAGAGTCACAGAAGGGACTTCAGTGGCCATCTAATGCAAGCCATACCTGAATGAGAATCTTCCCTATAACATAACTGGCCAGTAGTCTCAACTTGAAGACTTCCAATATTGGGGAACTCATGACCTCCAAAGGAATCCCATTCCACTTGTGGATAGTTCTAATGGTTAGGAAGGTTGCCCTTATATGAAGCCTACAACCTGCCTCTTTGGAATCATTACTCATAATTCCCAGGGATGCTCTTTGCCAACCAGAAAAAACAAACCTATTCTGTTCTCCACTCAACAGCCCTTTAATAGCACCTATCATGTCTCCCTTAGGTCTTCAAATACCCCCAGTTCACCCAAGGGTGTGCACCCAAGGGTGCGCCCTTCATCATTCTGGATGTTTTTCTTTAGGCCCTCTTCAATTTATCAATATCCCTCCTAAAATGTGGTACCAGACGTGGACATGATGCTCCCACTATGGTCCGAAAACAGGGCAGAGTGCAGTAGGACTCCTACCTCTCTAGTGCCAGATACCACCTTTTTCATGCAGCCCCAAATAATATCTGCTTTCTTGCCTGCACTATCACATGCAAGCTCACACTAAGCTTGCCATTCACCAAAATCCCTACTTCTTTTTTTTTCTTCTGATAAACTGGGTTCTAAACACATCTCTCCCATCTTGTACAGGCAAAGCTGATTTAAAAAAACTCAAGTGAAAGACTTTGCATTTGCCCCCATTACATTTTATCTTGTTAGATTCAGCCCAATATTCCAACCTGTCAAGATATTTTCAAATTCTGATTCTGTCAGTCAATGTGTTAGCCATCCACCCCAATTCTGTGTCATCTGCAGATTTGATGAGCACGCCATCTGTCTTTATCCAAGTCAGGGTCCAACCATTCAGCTAGTTCCAAGTTCACTTAATTATATATACTCTTGTCTAACCCCTGTTTCACCATCTTTTCCCACGGGAATAGTATGAGACTCATATATTCCATTGAACTCTAGGTTAACTAGGAAGTGTCTCTACAGCATTTGTAAACAGAGTCAGGTCTTGAACCCTGGGCTTCTAACTCCCAGTTGGGTGCTCTTTTTATCAATGACACTATCTTGATCTGACACCAACTGTCTGTTTGTGTCATCTTGGGCAAGACAATTCCCAATCTTTCTGTGTTTCACTGTCATCATCTCTAGAATGGGAATGATAATAATTGTCAGAGCTAACATTTATATGGCAGTTTAAAGTTCACAAGGGCTCTACATATATTCTCAGCACCTCCCTCGCTGGGCTATCACGGATGAAATCTAATACTTAGCCAGTGAAAGAACTCATAAAAGCACAAAGCCCTGACTGAATATTGGGAACCTGGGTGGTTCATCCAAGGGGGTCAGCTGGAGGCAACTACTTGCCTTTAGATTGAGAAAAATCTATTCAGGCCTCTCCCCCAGCCCCAAGTCAGAAGACTCAGTTCAAATTCCAGAAAGTGCCCAGTGTCTATCTGCGGTTACCATTTGTAAAGTGCTCACCCAAGTCGACCTCCTCCACTCTAGGCCACTGGGAGTAGGGGACATTCTTGCAGAAAGCCTCCAGGATCTTCTCCTTCACCTGAGTCAGCGTGTCTGTGTCCATGGCCCGAACACTCAAAGAGTCCATGCCACAGCCCTGGAAGGACACGTTTAGGTTCTGGGGAGAGAAAAGAAGAAATAGAGATGAGAACACTAGCAGTCCTCTGAGGTTACCCCAACCCAGGTGTCTTCCAGAAGGCCTTGATCAGGTTGGCAAACAAGATTCTGCTGCCCAGCAAGGCATGAATTCGTCCTGCCTGAGGGTCATCTGGGGAGTCACGAGCCTGACTAGGGGACTGCTGGCTTTGCTTTGGTGGGGGTGTAGGGCCATTGACATGGGGCAAGGGCACAGACCTATCAGCCCTTTCCCAGATACCATGGCTTTACATCTCCCCAACTAAAGGCAAACCCACCCATCCTGGACAGTTGGTCAATTCACTTCCCCGTGGCTCAGTTTCACAATCGGCAGTGGGGGTTAATCCTACCAATCAGCTCACTCCTCCCAAAAAACCCTAATAAGACAGTGGGTCAGGATCTGGTGCCGTGACAGGGCACATGAAAGTCTCCCTCCTTGGGCAGAAAAATAAACCTACTGTATCTTGCTTTTGCATCTCTTTTGCAAAGCCAAGTCCTTCTTATACACAGCCAGAAGGCACAGAATCTAAGAATCATAATTTCAGAACTTGAGAGAACCTTAGCAAGCTGACCAAGATTCCTTTCTACCACCTCCCCGACAAATGGACGTCTAGCCAAGATGTCTTAAAGACCCCCAAGGAGCAGGAACCAGCCACCTCCTGAGGCCACCCACTCATCTTTTGTGTAATTCTATTTATTAGGAAGGTTTTCCTTATATCGCGGCAAAACTTGCCTTTCTATGACAACTCCCACTCATTTGTTCTTCTCTCCTCTGTGGCCAAGCAGAGCATGTCTAACCCGTTTTCCACATTATCAGCTTCTGAGGACAGCTATTCCATCCCCATCTAAGCCTTTTTTTTCTCTAGATCCTAATCCCTTCAATCCAACCTCCATGGCAAGGACTCATTGCCCCGATGTGTGTGACAGCTGGCTTATCAATGTCCTTCCTCATTCCTCAACCAAGCTACTCTGATCCATCCCTTCTACCCCCAAAACCATTGGTTGGTGGGGGTGAGCTCCTCCCACAGGCACCGCTGGAGGGGGAGTCGGGGCTGCTCACTCTGGGCTTGGCCTCAATGTTCTCCCTCAGCAGCCACTCCTCGTTAAGCGTGTAGCGAGCCTTTCCAGTGATTGCATCGATAGATCCCTTGTTGATCTGCTGTTTGATTGCACATAGGAGCAGGAAGAAGGGTTCACCCACGGTCTCCTGGGGAAACAAAAGAGATTGGGGGTGAAAACAGGGATAAACCAAAGGCTTCTCCTCCTGAATGAGCCAAATAGACCACCCACTCCCACACTCCAAATCTGAGTCCTCCTCGGGAGATCTTGGAAACCAGACTGATGAGAATCCTACACAAATATGTGTGCCTAAGGAGCATTCTCTGACCAAAGATAGAATGTCATCCAAGTGTCTAAAGCAATTAGTCAATCAATGAGTACTTATTAAGTACCTGCTACTAAGTTGTAGGAGATGCCATCTTGCATTGGCAGGGGAAATTTCCTTATCTGGAATGTATAGTCTTAACTGTGTTATATATAGTCATATATAGTCGTCATATATATATATATATGTATATAGTCTTAAATATAAGTGTTTAACAAATGCTGTTGATTGATTAATTGATGGACGCTCAGCCAACATTCTATCCTTTGGCCAGAGGACTGCTTTTTACCAAGACACCCTTCCTGATCTCCAGAAGGAAATGATGGTTAAGTAATCAGCTCATCAATCTGGTTTCCAAAATCTTCTGAGGAACTCAAACTTGGGACCAACCCTACATTGTTTAGAAAACCTGCCAGAATCCTAAAAATAGTCCATTGTTATTCAATCCTGCTGGGTAAATCGCTCATCTGTGAACCCGGCCTGGAGTAAAACAGGCCTGAGGAACACAGTCACTTCCCCTGGGGTCTCAAGCCTTTTGGAATTCCCTCTGGGATGCTGAGGGCTTTCCAAATGCCAGTGCATGCCTGGGCACCTGGACTGATCGGTCTTTTGGCTGGTGTTATTTGAGTCAGGGATGGGAATAGAGAGGGGTGGAGTAGGGGTTGGGGGTGGGGAAATCCATATCCCTCATTTGTTTCAGTTTTAAATCGATCCTTGGCTGGGAGAGCCGGAAACCGTGGGCTGCGGCAAAAACCTGCAAAGCCCTAATCAAATATCCAAGTTTGGGAAGCAGCGAAGTAGGGATTGGCAGCTCCAGTGCTTCCTTGGATGGCTGCTGGGAAAACTGGTTTGGAGCAAAGTCAGAAACCTCCCTCTGACTTGGCCTGGCCGAGGGGAAATTCAGCTAACCACAAACGATGCTGATTCGGCAGGGGGTGGAGGGGACTCAACAGGGAGAGATCAGTATCTCAGCTGGTTAGTTCCGTTTTCCAGACTCTCCTCACTGAGCCTGGTATCATGGCTGGGACCCAGGGGGTTCTTGTGGGTCACACAGGGGTCTGAGTGTGGCCAGACGCTATCCCCACAATGGGAACCCCAGGAAGGGGGGCAGCATTTGCATGGTTACCGGACCACAGATGGGACTCTGGGTCACATGTTTGGGGAAAGGTTTCATGAGCTGAAGTTGACTTTTTTTCCCCTCTGGTTCTCTCTAATGAGCCAGACATACTGTTTGCAATATTCCCTGGGGCCTAGCCAGATCTTTATCCTTAAATTTCCTTTACAGTAAGTGGAAGTTTATACTTATTCCCAAGGTCCCACCTCAATCTTCCTTCCCCTGGGGACTTTCCTCTTCTCCTTGACTCCTAGAGTTCTTGAGCTAAAGGGGACCCTTCGGACCTTTAAAACCAAACTTCTCATTTTAAAGATGAGGAAACTGAGGCCCTTGTTTCCTTCAAAGCTCAGCCCAAATACCACCTCCTCAGTGAGGCCTTGTTCCTCATCTCTCCGGCTGCTAGTGTCTCTCCCCTAAAAAATTTAGGGGAGAATGAATTTTGTATGTATTAATTTTGTATAAACTTACCTGCATTCATGTTGTCTCCCCCAAATGAATGTAAGCTCCTTGAGGGTAGGGAATGGTTTTTTTAGTCTTTGTGTCCCTGACACTGGCACAGATGCTTTGCACATAGTAGATGCTCAGTAAATGCTTACTAATTGATTCATTGCCCAAAGTCATATACACAGTGAGTCAGTGTCAGAGTTGAGACTAGAACCCAAGTCTGTTGATCCCTGGATTAGTGTACATCCTACTACTGCCTTAACAAAAAAAAAAAAAAAAAAAAACCCTTTGGGGTGGCTTTTTTTTTTTTTTTTGTTAAAACATTGCTATCCCTTCCCAATGTCTCACTCCCCTACAACAGAATCCTCCTTTGGAATAGTCAGAATAATAATAATAATAATAGTTAGAACATAGACTAAATCAACACTTTGGCCATACCTAACAACACCTGCCTCACTCCACATCTGAAGTCCACCACTTCTCTGTCAAGGGACTGCATCATCCCCAAGAGAACCAACCTTGAGATGGCCATATGGGCTACACTAGAGCCTAAGGTAAAGACCACGTTGGTTTGGACAGCAGCTCCCATTCCTGACAAGAAGCCACTGGTGCCATATTCTCCTTCTTGCTGCCCCACTGGATTGCCTCTTGAGATTCATAGCTTAGATCCCACATCTGCCTGCTGGGGACATCCCCAGCAGATTGACGGGCTCTTTGACTGGACACCGTTGAACTAGTTGGTCAGATGGGCCTAGTCGAAGGTTATTTAGTCAATAAACATTTATTAAGCTCCTGATATGTGCTAGGCACTGTGCTCAATGCTTTTAGTGCTTAGAAATAGTATTTCATTTAATTCTTACAACAACTCTGTGAGGTCTGTGCTATCATTATTCCCATTTTACAGTTGAGGAAACTGAGGCAAACAGAGGTGACGTTATTTGCCTAGGGTCACACAGCTAGTAGGTAGCCATGCGGGTCTGTTCTTTTGGGCCCTAAAATCAGCCAAGACCAAAAGCTATAGCATAATGTAACTGGATTCCTCTTTGGTTCTTGAGAACCAACACGGTAGCTATCAGTATGTACCGTTGGAGGGTCCAGAGGAACAGCCGTTGCCAAACTCTTCCCCAACCCTTCCCCTTCCCCTAATGCTGGCTCATTGCTGGAGGGGTAGAACCAGTCCTGACCTGAGCACTGATGAGACCAGCTTGAGATATCAGCAAGGATGAATACAGAGGGGCCTGGCAGGGAGAGAGGGGGTCCCAAGGGTTAGGGTTCTAGCCCAGACCCTGCACTCTTGCATCTGGCCCTTCTTTAGCCACAAAGTAGAGATTATATCCCTTAGTCCTCCCCACTCAACACATTAGCGGTGAGAGGGAGAGAGATGATAAGCCCTAATTGCTTAGACTTTTGGGCAAAGAGGCCACAAGACCACAAAGAACCAATATCTCTGAAAGGTGAAAAGTCTAAAGAGCGCTCAGGATGACCACTCATTCACAAAGGATTCTATCTTTTACCCCAGGAATTTCTCCTCCATTTGAGCGCAATGTCTGGGCCAACTTTCCTTACCTGGCAAGTATTTTTGCTACTCCTGACCCTGCTGCATGACTGTTGTAGGACCAGGAATTGGCAAGTTCGTCCCTGTGGTTCTCAGCACTCTCCTCTATCAGCTTCTTGAGGGCAGGAACTACTTTGTTTTCATGTGCTTAATAAAGCAGTTGCTTGATAAATATTTACTGATTGATCAATTGATCAATTTGTAAAACGAGGGGATTAGATGATATCTTTCTGATTCCTTCCATCTTTGCTATTTCATGATTCTGCCTTCTAATATATTATGTTCTAACATCCCTTCCAGCTCTAATATTCTATGTTCTAAGATTCACTTCCATTTCTGTCATTCTATCTGCTAACATTATACATTCCAAGGTTCCTTCCAGTTCTAATATTCTATGCTTTAAAATTTGATGTCCCAAGTTCCCTTCCAGTTCTGACATCCTGTAAGTTAACATTTCTTTGTTCTAAGGCCCCCGCCTGTTCAAATATTCTATGTTCTAAGGTCCCTTCTCATTCTGACATCCTATTGAGTTAACATTTCTATGATCCAAGTTCCCATCAGCTCTAATATTCTAGGTTCTAGGTTCCTTCAAGTCCTGACATCCTTTTTGACAATATTTCTGTCTTCCAAGGTTCCTGCTAAATCATATATTCTGTGTTCTTCCAGCTGTAAGGTTCTAGATTCCAAGGTTTTAGGATTCTCAGAGGCTTCCCATGACCTAATATTATTATCTCTGCTCCAGCTAATAGAAAGTCTAGCATCTCCCTCCTCTCAGAGAGCAGTATGTCTTCCATTTTTTCCTTCTTTCCCAAAGTGATGGGGCCAGTGGGCCAGCAGAGCACTAACATAAAACAAATGTCTGTGTCATGTTATATTAACTCAGCAGGCACAGCTCAGGGGCCTGGAATGTTTCCACTGTACCATTGAGGGACCCTTAAACAGCTGTTTCAAATAGATGCCATGATTAACTAGAATCACTTTGGAATGAAACGCAAGCCCATCATCGTCACAAATGTCCTGTGAGAGAGAGAGCCGGCAGAGGCCAGAGTCAGGCGAGGCCTAGGGATGGGTACAAGGTGGGAGAAAGCGGGCATCACTGGAGATGCTCAGCCTGACTCAGCATTGCTGGAATTACGTCAGTGAGGCTGGCCTCAGTGGTGGGCCCTTGTCTCCTGGCTCCCCTGGGGAAACTCAACGGTGGGGGGCAACCGCACAACAGAATACATCTAGCTTGTTCAGGTGGGTGAGGCCACCAGCCCAGGATGTGGGGATCAGAGGAAATGCTTTCCCTCATTTTGCTGTGGTTACTGCTTGTCCCTTTTCCGGCGGGTATATGGGAATCTTGTCTGTCACAGTGGGAGATGCACTAAGGGAGTTTTTACTGGGCCCTTTCCTTTCTACTCGTCCTACTTTGGCCCTCAAATCTTCTCTCTTGAACAACTGCAGCAGCCTTGGTTGGACTCCCACGTTTCCAGGACAGATCTCACCACCTCACACTTTCCTGCTCAGGAAACATCTGTTGCTCCCTACTGCCTTTGAGATGAAAGATGAGCTCCTCAGTTTGCATTTAAAGCCCTTCCCAGACTTCCCTGCACATTACCTTCCCTTAATAGACTCTACCTTTCAAACCTTCCAAACTGACTAACTGACAGTTCTGAGCTGGGCCTCCCATCTCCTGCCTATGTGCCTTTGCATAGGCTATCTCCTCATGCCTGGTAAGCCCTCCCTACTTATGTTTGCCTTTTAGAATCCCTTCAGGGTTTGGCTTGTGGGCCTCCTCCTCTGGGAAGCCTTTCCTATTCCTTCTAGATCTGAGTTGTGAACACTTTTATCTTCTACTTATTTATCCATTTATTTGTTTGTATCCCACAATAGAATGCAAGCTTCTTGAAGGCAGGTATTGTCTTTAGTTTTTTGTGTTTAATTTTCTCCAAGGACTGGCACATAGTAGGTACCATTTTAATCAGTGCTCATGGAATTGAATTAATCAGTAACAGTGAACATTTATAAAGTGCCTACTATGTGCCAGGCACTACGCTAAGTGCTTTACAATTATTAATCTCACTGGAGCTTCACAACAACCCTGAGGGGTAGGTGCTATTATTAGCCCCATTTTTATAGATGAGGAAGCTGAGGCTTGAGGGAGGGTCAGCGACTTGCCCAGGGTCATACAGCCAGTAAGTGCCTGAGGCAGGATTTGAACTCTCCAAGTCCAGAGTTCTGTCCATTCTGCCATCTAGATGCCTTGAATGAGAAGAAGAGGAGAAACACAGGAGAAACACAGGAATAAGGCCAATGGCCTGGGTGGGCTCATATATTTCACAGCAAATTCTAAAGTCTATTCTCCTCATTCTCTTCCCCCCAGAGGAAGGGAATATTGACTTTGTAGTTGTATCCAATGCACTTATGTGGGCAGATGAAATAATTTCTAGGGAGTCTGCTGAAATGAGAGAGAGAAGGAAGACACAGCATGTGAGATGGGGATGCTGTGTGACCTTGGACAAATCACTGCCCTCTCTGGGCTTTAAGGAGAGTTGGGTCTAGGTGGTTTCTGAGATCCCAGACCCAAAAGACAAAGAACCATGAACTGGGGCTGGAAGGTACCTCAGAGGCCATCATGTGACCCTTTCATCTTATATCTGAGAAAAACTCAAGCCTGGAGTGACTTCCCAGAGGTCACAGACAGAAGAAACGTTGGAGCCGGGATTCACACCCAGCTCCTCCTATTCCAAATCTGGTATTTAAAAAAAAGCAACTGCATCATCTTTTCCTTCTTTAGAAAGAAGGAAACTGAGGCTCAGGAAAGTGAAGCAACTTGTATAAGGTCAAACCTCCAGGAAGTAGCAAACGTAGAATTTGAACCCAGGTCTCGTGACTCCTGAATTCAGCACTCTTTAAAGCTGATACCCATGTGTGTAAGCTTCTTTGTGTATATACAGGATGTGCCAAAAGCTTCAGTGCAGTTTAAAGCTTCAATAACTTGAAACTATGATAATATTTAAGTTATTAGAGCTTAAAACCACACTAAGACTTTTGGGACATCCTATATATATTACATGTAACATAACATAATACAATATACCAAACATAATATATAATTACACATTATATAATTATATATTACATATAGTTATATATCATATGTAATTATATAATATATGGTTATACTATATATTATATAATTATAGTCTATGTCTTATAAATAAGATATAATCACCTATTATTTAATATGTAATTATATATAATACTATATATGATATGTAATTATATAACATATAGTTACATATTAGATAACAGATGATTATATCTTATCTATAATTATATCTTATCTATAACTATATATATCATAAGATATAATTATATTATATTAATGTTATTTAATTGTATATAATATATTGCAATATAATATATAAGCAGTATAGGTTATATTATGTTATATGTGTGTTTGGTGTGAGTGTATGAGCATTTGTACAAGTGTGTGTGTGTGTGGCTGTCTGTAAGTATACTTTTGCATGCATATGTACCTGAGTGAGGGCACATCTATGTGGGTCAGGGTCTACCCCACCCCAGAACACAAGCCTTTTACAGTTTTGGCCTCCAAGGCAGGGCACAGAGGGCATAACCAGCCCAACACTCTCTGGCTTCTACACCAATAGAGCCAATGGTCAATCCAACTTAAACCAGTTCTAGGCCATTTCCAGGTGGAGAGGTCTCTAGGGTGCCAAGGCTGCTTACGTGAAACCTGCTAAGTGCATCATGTATAATGGGGCCTGCTACCATGATGCCCCCCCGCCCAAAAAAATCCTGCATCAGCCACCACAGAGCCAAGCCCGGGACTCTAGCTGTTTTGCCACAGAAGGCCGGAAAGCAGCCTGTGCAATGAGCCCCAAACTACCCATTTCTTGCTGAATGGTGGATTGGACATTAGCTCTTCTCAAATCCCCAGAACAGATGCTTCCCCAGGCTTCTGTTTCTGAGGTTACAGGACTGTGGTATCATAGAAACAGTACTAGGCTTGGTGTCCAGAGACCTGGGTTCAAATCCAGACTCTGACACCGGCTAGCTCTTCCCCCATGTGTAAATGACAACCTTTCTGAGACTCTACTTCCTCATTTATAAAATGAAGATAATAGTAAGTTTCTTTCTAAAGAAAACTGTTTTGTGAACTTTTATTGGTCAGATCATCAGGAGAGCTAAGTTGTAGTCCCAGCTTTGGGTTAACCAGTTGAGTATGTCACTTTCCTTCTCTGGGCCTCAGTTTCTTCCCCTGTAAAATGAAAGGCCTAAGCTAAATGATAGTGAAAGTACCTTCCAGAGCTAAGATCCTCTGCTTACATAACTGTTGTCAGAGCTCAGTGCTCACTGGAGGGTTGGAGTGTCTTGTAAACTTTTAAGAGCTATAGGTATTTAAGGCATTATTACTGATACCTCATGGATTAACAGCAACAATTCCTCCCTGGTGGCTGGTGGTAGATCAGAGATGCCTCATTTGTGATTCTCTGAGATTGAGCTGTATCATTTGTGAATCTTCTTACAGTACTCATTTCATCATTTCAACCCCCTTGCTCAGGAACGTTGAATAGCTCCCCAGTACCCTCAGGATCAAGTCCAACTTCTTTGGTCTGACATTCAAAGCCCTACATTGTCTGGCCCCAGCCCAGCCATCCAATTGTATCTCCTCCTATTCCCGTGCATGAACTCTCTTCTCCAGCAGTTGATCTTTTCACTATCACACAACAGGGGCCCAATCTGTGATTCCATTAGTGAAAAAAATGCTGGTGAGAAAACCCTTTCTACCAACAGGGACTGGCAATTGTTTTGAGGCTTGCAGTCCTGGAGAGTTTCTGGGGGTATGGAGACCTTAAATCACTTGCATGTGCCAGTATATGTCAGAACCCAGGTTTTTCTGACTCGAAGGCTGGCCCTTTATCCACAACACACACTGCTTCATCCCACAGCATACACATACTGTGCTTATTTCCCCACCTCGGGATGTTTGTCCATGCCATTTAGAGCCGTAAGGGACCTCATCAGACATCAGGACCAGACTGAACACAGAAGGAATCCCCCCTGTCCCAATAACATACCTGATGATTGGTTGTCTAGCTTCTCTGTGCAGGCCTCTGAGGAAGAGTGACCTCCCATCCCTCTAGGTGGGCCATTCCACCCTGGGGCAGTTCTAATCCTGACATCTATAGCTTAATTGGCCTCAATCATTCTTGGTTATGTCCCCTTAGGGCCAAACAGAAGGAGTCTAATTCCTCCCATCTACATGAAGGCCCTTCAGACACTAGAATATAGCCATCATGACCCCCGAGCCTTCTCTTCTCCAACCTGAACACCCCTAGTACCTTTAACTAAATGTCTTATTAGAGCATAAATCTAAAGGCCTCCGCCATGCTGGCTGCTCTCCAATCTAGCAATGTCTTAGTGGCCACAACTGAACCCAATATTCCAGGTGAGGCCAGATGACGTTCTTTTCAACAATCCTTCAAGGCCTAGCTCAAGTCTTACCGACTGACCACTCCAATCCACACTGATTTCCCCTCCTCTAGCCTTCTTCTCCAGCACCTAGGCCAGGCACCGCTATTATCTTACCCTGTCTCCCCTGCCATACTGTGGGCCCTTCAGGGACAGGGGCCCCATCTGGAATGCTCCCCAGGCACTTAGCACAGGCCTAGGCACATAGCTGGTACTTGGGAAAAGCCTCTTGGATTAGATTGAGTTGGACTGAATTAGGCCCAAAGATCTTGACAGCTGCAGCAGTTTTCACAGGCCCCCAAAGGAGACTCGATTCTCCACACCCTGCACTCTCCTGAGTGCTTCCATTGTGGACCCTTCCCTTACCCGCAGGTAGCTGTACATGCAGATGGACATCCAGTTGGTGAGCATCTTCTCCACCACAGACTCCGTCCGGCGAAGCATCAGCTTGGGATTTTTGGAGGCCGAGGCATCGATGAGGTCCACAAGTAGGTCCTTCATGATGCTGGTGTAGTATTCCAGCTTCCCATGCAGAGCAATGGTGAGCAGAGAGGCCAGATTGCACCTGAGTGGGAGGGGCCCAGTAGTAATGATGAATTGTGGTGCCAAGCAATGGGGACCTTGAGACTAAATGTCAATAGTCCTTGCCCTCAGACAGCTTACATCCTTTCTTCTTAATTGCATTTTATTATTTTTCCCAATTAACATTTACTTTCTCTCCTTCCACTAAAGATCAGTAACAATAACATCAAAAAACCTTCACAACAAACAGGTAAAGTCAAGCAAAGCCAATCTCCCTCACGAGCCACAAAGGATAACCTTTACTGAGGGGAAGCAACATGCATGTAGGTAAGCATGTGCGAAACACAGGGCTAAGCATTGGACTTGGAGGTCATTGGTATAGGGAACTCCCGGAGGAGGAGGAGGAAACTCTCTCCCCCAATGGAGGTGGCCACCTTCTTTGTGATCTATCTTAGAAAGCTGCTTAGAGCAGAGGTGTCAAACCCAAGGCCCACAATAATCCTGAGTGCAGATTAAAGTGTAATTGGGAAATATTTAACAAAATAAATAAAATACAATAAAGCAGAGATAGATGGCTAGAGTGTTGGGCCTAGGGTCAGGAAGAGTCATCTTCTTAAGTTCAAATCCAGCCTCAGACACTTATTAGCTGTGAGACCCTGGGCAAGTCACTTCACTCTGTTTGCCTCAGTTTCCTCATCTGTAAAACGAGCTGGAGAAGTAAATGGCAAACCACCCCAGTATCTTTACCAAGAAAACCCCAAATGGGACACAACTGAAAAATAACTGAACAACAACAAATATTACATTTTAAAATTAAGTTTATATGCAGCCTACAGGGATCCTTAAGCATGGATTAGTGGCCCCTACTTGTATTTGAGTTTGACACCTTTGACTGGGAACACTGTGACTTGCCCAGGGTTACACAGCCTGTATGTGTCAGAGACTGGATTTGAACTCAGTTCTTTTTAGCTCCAAGGCCAACTTTCTCTGCACCATGCCACACTGCACAAAACATATATAAACTAAAGACAATGTGATTTTGGTGGGGTGGGAGGGCGTTCATGATTGCAGGGCTCAGGGAAAGCCTCTTGCAGAAGTATTTAAGGAGCTATGCAGTCGAGTTGAGGAGGGAAAGCCTTCTAGGCTTGAGATGACTTGTACAAAGGTGGGAAGTGGAAGGGGGGGCAGGGATAACACCAGGCACCATGTTGGGGATGATGGGATCCTCCATTAATGGGATATGGTCAGATGTGAACTATCACTCTACAGCAGGATTCAGGGATCTAGCCTTCAAGGCTCTCCGTGACTCCCAGGCTGATGGCACCCAATGTCATTCACACTCCTCTCCCCAGAGTTACCTCCATGATCTCTTAGGTCTGGGAATTAACAGCATTTAAAACTTGATGGGACCACAGAAGGGCAGGGGAGGGAGGTCCATTATTATAATAGTGACTATTAGCCAGGCTGAGATACAGGGTTACTTCTGGGGAACGTGAGGCATAGGAAGGAAGGCTGAGAATTACCAAGGCTCATCTTATGTCAAGGCTTCAAGGAGGAGCAGAGAACGGATCCCCACAGTTGTACTGACCTGTCTCGAACGGCAAAATCCTTCTGCTGCTCCAAAGCATGGACGAAGACAATGAGAAAGTGCTTGTTGTTGAGTAAGGTGGAGAACAAGGCAATCCCTTCCTCCATGTTGGGCCGGCAGCTCTCAGGGATCTGAAGAGGAAAGAGGGGCAGTGAAGTCACTGCGGGCGGCAAAGCGCCCCCGCCCCAGGCCGGCCTACCCCCTCTTCTCTTCTCCTCACTGCTCCCCTCCCATGGCCCACCATCTCTTAGCTCTGGGATGGGCGTCATTGTAGCCAGAAGTAAAACGGGGAGCAGGAGGTGCAGAAGCTTTCTTGGGGTACAATTGTGGGAGGAGGGCAGCAGGAAGCAGAGAATTTAAGTGCCATATGAAGCCAGTGAGACTATGCCAATGGATACCAATGTCACAACATTGGGAGAAAACCATATGTACTTGGGGACTTGGTACATGGGCAAAACCCATCAGTTTACTAACATGGCATCAGCCATGAGTGTGATGGACGTCTGGAATGGTGCGTGTGCCAGATTCTCTTTGCATACAGAATTATAAAAGACCTTAGGGACCATTTAATCTCACTGCCTTATTCTACAGATGAGGAAATTTAGGCTGAGAAAGGTCAAAGTGATTTCCCCCAGATCACGTAGATAGTAAGTGGCTATGGTGGGGCCAGAATCCAGATTTCCCAACCATGAGGTTTTATGGGAAGGACATTGAATTTGGAATTAGAAGATCCAGGTTCCAATCCAACCTCCGTCTTCACCTCTCTAATCGAGGGGTTGGACTAGAAGATCCCTGCATCTCTAACATTTTGTGATTCTAAGACCACAGGGACAACTAATGTCGTCAATTGTGCTGAAGGAGCCCAACGCTGTGAGAATTCGGCCACCTCCTCACCCCCATCACACAAGGTCACAGCTTGCCCAGAGCATCACCACTGCAACTTCAGTATGCAAATTAAGAAAGCCTCTCCAGGACACACACCCCAAGATCAACTGTGCAAAATATTGGGGATCTGTGAAGATGCTGAAGTCAACGGGCAAAGATAACACCATATTACATTCCTTTGGAATTTCCTTAAACAATGAAGTCCAGAGAGGTTAGCAATGTGATTGAGATCACACAGCTGATACACTGGTAAGGGTGAGATTTGAACCCGGTTCGTCTGGCTTTGAATCCAGCAGGGACAAAGAGACAACGGGGATGATGCAACCCAGGCTAGAACCATATACATGCAGCAGAATTAAAATGTTTGGTTAATGGGGTCTGATTATCATTAGAAATAATGATAAATGGGCTTGCTTTAGGGGGTGATGGGCCATGCTACCTGCTGTAAGGACGCTCTCTCTCAGGCTATGTGTTTCCCCTTGCCCCCATCCCTCACCGATTACCCATTCCCTCCGAGCATGATTGAGAATGGGAGGTGATGGGGCTGAGGGTTGAGTTCCCTGAAATCCTGGGGAGGCCCAGCTAGATAAGAAGTACAACAGGAAGGCTGAGGGACACATATCTCTTGCCTTTGCACCCCTAAAGTCTCGAAGGGGGACAGAAGAGGAAATGACTGTCTGCAATGGAGAGGATCTGGTCCCCGGCCATGGGGCTCCAAGGTCTCCAGGCAGTGACTGTGTTTGGCATACTCACTTTCCACTCCCCCAGCAGTAGCGGATGAGTTTCCTGGACCTGAGCTCCCCCCTGGGAGTTGAGCGGCTGGGAAGGCAGAATGTAGCACTCCTCATAGAGGGAGGAACACTGCAAGGAAAGGAAAACCAGGGGAAGGATGGGAGGGAGTCACAGAGTGGAAAGCCACGCTCCGCTCTGAGGAGAGAACAGAAAAACCCTCCCTCCACCTCCATTCTCTGCTGGCCCTCGGCTGCCTCTGCAGGGCCTCACTTCCTTTGGGCCATGGACCTGGCCAGGCCAGCTCTGAGCCCCTGCGGCCCTGGGTGCTTTCCCCATGGCCCCTCAGCCCTGGCTGGCTCTCTAAGCAGAAGGCCAGAGCTCCAGGCTGCCCTGGAGGAAGGAAGTTCGGAAGGCTGTTGTTTTTCTTAAAGGATGTGTTAGGATACAAACAACCAGAAAAACTTGGTGTCTCTTTCCAGTGGTAATACTTTCCAAGCATTGGGCTAGGGGGAAGGGGCTGTCTTGCCAGCTCAGTAAAATGAACCACCTGGAAATCTGGGAAGCAATGGGGCTGCTTTAGCATCCCCCAATGAAGACTCAGTGGAAGCCAGCAGTTGGAGATTCCATGGCTTCGGTAGGAATGGCATTCTCCAGCAAAGCCTCAGGAGTTTTCCTGAGCTCACCTTTTACCTTCCCAAAGGTGGCTGGACAAGGCTATCATGGCCCAGGCAGGAGAGAGAGAAGACTAGCGGGGAGTGGGGCGGTCACCCAATGAGGCCCCCAGAAACACTGGGCTCATTGATGCTGTGCAGGCAGCAGATGGCGTTGCCAAATGGACACCAGGAGGAGGGAGGCCCATGGGCTGGATGCAAATCATCAACAGTCAGGGTGGGGATGTGGCCATTTCTGGGGTGGAGCATGGAAACTGGGAAACAGCCTACCAGGGGTATGGGCACAAACAGGCTCCAGGTAGAAAGGAATCATCCACCCCAGGGATTTACCCTGGTGTTGGGCTGACTGAAGGAACATCTGGGGAGGGAAGATAAGACTCATCCACCTGGGGACCAACTGCCTTCCCCACATGTACGCCATGACTTTTTCCACTGGACCATTGCCTGGAAAACCATGTAGTCCACTGGAAAAAGGCGTCAGCTGGGGAGGCAGGAGATGCAGGAAATAGGCTGGGCTCAGCTACTAGTAAATGTGGGTAACCTTGGGCAAGTCACTTGACCACTCTGAATCTCAGTTTTCTCCTCTGTCAAGTGGAGGACAAAAATAGCACCTGTGGTCAGGGTCATAGGCTGGTGCTTTGGATTTAGAGATGAAAAGGTCTTTAGAGATCAGCTAGTCTCATCTTACAGAAGTAAAATTTCTTTTCATCCATTATCTCATTTCATCCTCTCAACAGCCCTATAGGGTTGGCATATTGTCATTACTACAGCCATTTGATGGACAAGAATACTGAGGCTCAGAAAAGTGAGGTCACCTCGTTCAGGCACGGCAGAACCTGGACTGGAACCCATGCACCTTCCCTACTCTCAGACCTGCACTCTTTGCACTGCACCATAAGGCAGGCAACAACGAGTGTGCTTAAGGTTCCATGTCACTGGGGGCCTCAAGGAGGGCTCAGGCTCTGCAAACAGAGGTGCTTCTGACCTTGGGGAAGAAAGTACGGGTCACAAAGTGCTTGTATTCCAGGAAGGGGATGCCCTGGCTTCGGTTCAGCTCCTTGGTCAGGTCCGTCATGTCGGTCTGCAGTTCAGCAAAGCCTGTTGGTGAGGAAGCCCAGGACAGACATGAGCTATGTAATGACTTCATCCTACCTAGCTAGGGCTGCCTTAGGCTTCTTCCCATTCAATACCTCCAGGGCGGCAGGGATTCCTGGGGTAAGGGGGTACAGTTGGGGGTCAAGCAACAGTCTCTGAGTGGTTGCATTCCTAGTGTACACAGGTGTTCTAGGCTGAGTATTGGTCAGCCCTTGGGCATGGGGCTACTGTTGTTCTTAAATCAGCTGGAATTGTAGACCTGAAAAGGGTTTTAGGGATTATCCAGTCTGACTCCCTCCATTTAAAGATGAGGTGACTCACCCAAGGTCATACAGCCAGTGTGGGGCAGAGGTCTATCTAGAACCTAGGTCTCCTAACTTCCAACCCATTGCTCTTTCCATTAGACCCCGCCTGGGGTCCTCTTGACTGGGGCGGGGGCTGGGGGCTTCTCCTGCCCAGCCTCTGTCACCTTTGCGGATTTCTTCACGGATCTGGGACTCCATTTCTTCCATCTGCAGTAAGGTTTTCTGCCAGTATCGCTCAGCTCTGCGGCTCTTGGTACAGAAAACAAACAGCCCTGGGGGAAGAGGAGGAAGGAGGATGGGGTCAGCCAGAAGTCCCTGGCTTGTTGCTCTGTGATCCTTTGCACAGAGCATGAGACCCTTAACTAACCAGTCTCATCTGTCTCCAGGACTCAGGCATGGAAAGGGGGAGTTCCTCTTCCCACAGAGAAGCAGGGCATATTAAAATCATCATCACCATCTCATTCCTAGCCATTCTCATAGGCCCTGTTCAAGCCTTCTATGATAACCCCAGTCCAGGCTGATCTCCACTTAAATAGTTCATATTAGCTGGACCATTCACTTGGCATTTAATGCACACAGACTGCCTGGTGTGGTTATTTCTGTGTGTGTAGTTTTGTGTGTGTACGCATGTGTGTGAACATTCATGTGTTACATGTTCCTGCACGCATGTGTGCATGAATGTGTAGGTATGTGATCTGTGTGTATGTATGCATGTGTGTATACATGTTCCTGCACGCATGTGTGCTTGTGTGCTGCATGAATGTGTATATATGTGCTATGTGTATGTGGTCGCATTATGACTGTAGGCTCCTTGAGGGTACAGGTTATATCTTTTTTTTTTTGGCAGATGAGAGGAGATTTTAAAATATTTCTTGAAAACTATGTGTTAGTCACTCAATCAACAAGCATTTATTAGACATTCACTATATGTCAGGCACTATGCCAAATGGTGGGATACAAAGAAAGACAAAAACACAAAAAACAGTCCCTGTCCTCAAGGAGCTTACATTCTAACAGAAGAGACAACCTGTGTCTAAACAAGTACATAGAAGAAACATGGAGAGTAGATGGAGGATAGTCTTGGAGGGAAAGGCCCATGCAGCAAGGGGAGTGGGACAGGAAATAGAAATTAGTAAAGGTCAAGTAAGGTTAAAACTTTTGTGTTAAAGCTTTCTTATGTACAGGTGAAGACCAGATTGAAGCAGTATTTGGGGGGCTGCTAAGTAACTAGCAGTACTTGCTGTAAAGGTTAATTACCTTGGGAGTAGACATCCACCTAGGAGCACTAATGAATTCCGCAATATTTGTTCTAGGAAATGAAGGCTATTAGGTCAAGCAGCATTTTCTAAGTATTAGGTATTGGCTCTTACATTTCTCCTACAGTGCCTTATATAAAGGAGGCCTTCAATAAATGTTTTTTGAGTGATAAAATAATATTCTATATAGAATATCTTGTACACTCCCAGAAAATTTATTTTTCCTAGGACACTGTTTGCACCATGAATTTCTCTGCTCATGAACCATCAATGGTTCCCTACTGCCTCCAGAAGAAAGTCAAAAGTCCTTCGCCTGGCATCCCAAGTCTTTTACCATCTGGGTACCAAGCTACCTATCCAACCACATGTTACAACTTCTTGGAGTCCTACAGTGGCTTGAGATGAGGTGGGGGTGAGCTGGGGAGAGGGTTATGTGGGTCAGTGGGACATGCAACTACGCAGGGTGAGGGAGTGAGGGTCAATGCAAGGTGCAGGCAGCAGTGAGGGATGGTGGGGGTCCCAATCTCCCCAATCCTGATTCCCTCCCTGGCATGAAATGGTCATGTCTGAGTGTGCTACTAAGGAGGAATGGCAGACCTGGGGGCCCAGGGCCCATCTCCCTTCTTACCCACGATGGACAGGAGGAGCAGGATGCTACAGATGACGACGGAGACGGTGATGGCTGTCTCACTCCCACCCAGCTGTAGTGTGGCAATAGTCTGGTTGAAATTCCCAACCTGGATCTGAGCAGAGAGAGGAAGGGAAATATGAGAAGCCCACAGCAGAGGGAAGGGGGGATGGGAAGGGCCTGATTGGCATTAACCCCAGGTGGGAAGCCTGCCTGTGGGATGTGGGGCTCTGGCGCGATGCTCGGGCACAGAATCCAGCTTTAATCCGGACCCCTTGGGCAGTCTGGTAAAGCCTCAGAGACTCTTTCTCAGAATAATGTTTCTAAATGCACAAAAATACCTAGGATTACAAAGGAAATGAATTACATTGTAATATAATTATAAAAATATTTTTTTAAAAGTTCACAGGCTCTAGGTTATGAACCTCTTCATGTTCCAGGGGAGGTCCAGAGAGGGGGAGTGATTTGACTGAAGGCACACAACAAAATGAGGAGAAGACAGGGCTAAAACTCAGCCCATCCAGACCACTTTCCACATGTCAGGATGTCGTCCCTTCTCTCCACACCACCCATCCAAATCCTACCCATCCTTCCACCATTGTAACTGACATTCTGTAAGCCTTAACAAAAGGCTTTGCATCCACGATCTCTTTGATACCCACAACAAATAAGAGAAGTAAGCAAGGCAGTGGTTTGGCAGTGGGGTGGGGTGCGGGGTTGGTCTAGCCCTGTGACTTTGTCGGTCTAGGGAACTACCAATGTAGAATGAGAAGTCCTACTTTGCAACCTACAGGCTCTTTAAAAAATTATTTTATTTTATTTTCGGATCCAAAATCTCCCCCTCCTACCTTCCTTTCCTCTTCCCATTAAGAAAGCAAGAAAATAGAACCTGCTACAAATACACATAGTCTAGCAAAACAGCTCCTGTATTAGCCATGTCCAAGATAGAAACATGCTTCCGGCTGCCCCCTGCTTCTGTCTGGAGATGAAGAGAATGCTTTATCAGGAGGCCGCTGGAATGGGGCTTGGTTCCACTGGTATGACCCACAGTTTTAAGAGAGCCGCCCTGCCAGCCGGCATGGGGCAGAGCTAGATCTTGTACCCAGGTCTTTCCAACTCCAGGGCCATCTTCTTTATACCACAGTGCCTCTCCATTTTATAGATAGTCAAATTGAGGCGCACACAGAGAGGCTAAAATTTCTTGCTGAAGTTTACCCAGATAGCAAGTAGCCAAGACAAGATCTGAACCCAGTTCTCATTTCAAATACATTCTTCTTGTCCATTTTGTACTGTAGGTATGTGTGGCATGGCTTTGGAATCAGAAAGGCCTGAATTCAAATCTTGCCTCAGACATTTACTTAGCTGTAAGACCCTGGGTAAGTCACTTAACCTCTGCCTTAGTTTCTTCATTTGCAAAATAGGAATAATAATAACACCCAGGGTTGTTGTGGGGATCAAGTGAGATAATATCTGTAAAGTGTTTACGGGTCTTAAAGTGCCATCTAACTATTGTTATTATAATACCTGTGTCTAAGTTCTACCCTTTCCTGGAAGCCATTCCGGAATACCCCCAAACTCCAGGGATCTTTCCTGTCTCTGAATTACTGAACCTTATTCTCACTGCTTCATGTACTTTAGTCCTGTCCACTGTACCAGACCGTAAACCCGCTGAGGGCAGGGACTCTGTCTCCTCTGTCCCCATCAAGGCCAGCACAGTTGCCCTCAGTGGGAACACAGCTCACTGCTTCCCACATGAGGCATTCAGGCTGTCACTGGACCAGAGAGACAGGGACAGACAGACAGGGCCACAGCATACAATAGGGGCTCCAAAAATGCTGACCCTCTCTTCCCCCACCCTCCTCCTGGTTGACTTGTCATACAGGGCCCTTCGGTCATGATTCTGCATCCCCAGATTCCAAAAGGAGAGAATTCCTCTCATTTAACCAATACTCATATAAAGTTCCACATCCAGCATTCTGTCAGCACTGATTAAGCTCCTTATGTATACAAGGTCCTAGGTTAGGCACTTTCCAGTCAATGTTGTCCAGTCTCAGGGTTCTATCAACCTCCACAGGTAGGGCTCAATCATAGTGGATAGAGCTGGAAGGAATTTCAAAAATCATCTAAGTCAACTTAATCTTATAGATGAGAAAACTGTGGCCCAGAGGAAAGTGACTCGTCCAAGGTCACTGTTAAGGTTGAGAATCTTTGGGGAAGGCAGTGCTGACTGCTTGGAGAAGAAGCTGTGTCTCTACAGGCATCCACAGTGCACATGTCGTCTCCCTCATTAGACTGTAAATTCTCTAGGGCAAGGACTGTTTAGTTTTTGTCTCTGCATCCCTCAGAGCTTACCACAGCTCCCGGCACAGCATGTAGGAAGTGATTAACAGCTTTTGTTGGCTTACTAACTAACAAGCATGAGCATACTCCCAGGTTCTTTAAAACTCACCACCTAGAGTTCCCCTGATGATGGTGATTGAGTGTGTGTTCACTCAATGTGTGTGACATTGTGGTGAGATCTGGATCCAAGGTGTGTCCAAGACGGCATAGAGAAGTTACTGAATAAAACAACAGGGTGTAACAGGGAGAAAACAGAACACAGATCCGTTGACTTTCTGAGGGTGGGGCAGTGGTTGAATCCTGGAGGACCGAGTGTAAGGAGGAAAGAGAATCCTTTGCAACTAATTCTGTGTGTAAAGCGTTTGGGTGTGGATCCTCGGAGCACATTAATCAGAAATGTGTTTTTGGGCCAGGCTGGGGCAGGTGATAACTGCCTGGGTAAGCTGGCTGGGAAACGTTGGGGTACTGGGTGCTACACTGATCTTCGTGGAATGATGGTAAATATCTGAATGGCACAGCTCTGAACCCCTCTTTGTCTTGGAATAAGAAAAGAAAGTCCTTGGGGGGAAGCCAATGGACCCAGAGGCTGCATGTGAGACTGGGTGGGCCTGTGGCAGAAGCACCAGAGATGGGATTCTGATTCAAGTCCTCTTGAATCTAAATCTGCTCTCACCCTTTTGGGGGGCTGTAGCTGTGATTTCATTGTTAGAGGGAACGCCTGGTGACGTAACTCCCTCTATCAATGTCCGCCGGTGCTCCTTTGCCGCTTACAGCCTTGTGCCTGGAGCCCAACTAGCCTTGGACCTCCAGCCCTGGAGAGGGGCTTCTGGCCTTTGGAGAGTTTGGGGGGATAGGTGAAGGACGCCAAATCTGGAAGCTGGAGCCAAGCCTTCTAGTCAAGGGCTCTGCCTGCCTAACTGAAGCAGCTCCCTCTCTCTGGCTTTCCAGATAGGAGCTGATCCACTCTTTCACTTTCCCACCGGGACCAGACTATTCCCCAGGCTCCCTTAGTTATACCACAGCTCCGCAGAAACGCCTCGTCTTGTTTCCTTCTTCAAGAAGCAAATTGATCCAGGAGGGCCGGAAGGACTTGAGGTGGCCAGCCACAGGTAGGAGCCCATTCCCCCAATTCCTGAAGCTCCTACCTTCTTTCCCAAGCTGTTCCTCCTTTGTGAGCCTCCTTGACCCTGTTCAGCTTTCACTGAGCCCTCTCCTGCCTCTGTCCTGCTGGACGCCTGCACCAGTTATCCCAAACGCTGTTCATCTGGTGGCACTTAGAATAATCAAGCTTTTCCCGTTCACTAATTATTTCAAGAAGGGTCATTCAGTCCAGCTCTTTCATTTAACAGATGAGGGAACTCAGGCCAACGTCTCTGGGTCAGTTAGGAGCAGAACTAGAATGCGAACCCAGGTCTCCTGACTTCCCAGCCCAGAATCCTTTCCACTACACTCTCTAGGCAGGCCATGAACTTCTTGGGGGCATGGGCCAGATTTTACTTTTTCTCTTAAAGTAGAAAGAATGCAAGATTTAGAGTCAGAGGAGCTGCATTCAGGACTTAGTTTGATCAATCAATTAACCAATAAATATTTATTCTATATGCCAGGCACTGTGCTAAACTACTTACTAACCAGACATCCTGGGACAAGTCACTTCTCTCTCAAATTTCAGTCACATTACCCATTCAAATGCTTTAATAATAACAGCTGACACAGAGTCTGAAGGTTTCCAAAATGAGATATATATATACATAATTACATGTAGCATATATAATATATACATGATATATATATTTCACTTGAGTCTCACAACATATATAATAGTTATATATGTAAAAACCTAACTTATATATAATATATAAATATATAAACATAACTATTATATGTAAATAGACACACTTATTATATATAAAATACATAACTATATTTGGCTATATATAATTATATATTATAATTTATATAAATAAATAAATAATAGCTTCAGAGATAGGTTTCCAAAGTGAGATATATATATATATATATGCACATATATGTGTGTGTGTGTGTGTGTGTGTTATATCAATATAGGCTCAAATGAAACACCGTATATGTGTGTGTGTATGCACATACACATACTCACACACACACATTTTAATCTGAGCTTCACAACAACCCTGCGAGGTTGGGGACAATTATTATCTCCATTCTACAGATGAAGAAACAGATTCAAAGAGAAGTGGGTAAGGCAAAATTTGAACCTAGGGTTCCCTAACTCTGAGCACAGCGCTCTCCTTCCTAATTGTCTATGAATAGTGCTTGTGTTACCTCGCATGGCTGTATAGAAAGCACTTGCATCTTTGAAGTGTTACAGAGAAGGGAGTGATTTTTTTATGCTCACTCCCACAGCACAGCCAGTGGTCCAGGGCTCGGTGAGGAAGGGGACGGCCTCCAGCTGCCTGATTCCTTACCGAGCCCCTGCTCCTGTCTGGTTGGTGGTACTGAACTTCACTCTGACCACTGCCGGGAGGAAGGAGGAGAACCTGGGTGGGGCTGGGGAGGGGGAGCTCGTCTGCTCTCCCCATTTCCAGAGATAGAGAAGTATGGAAGAGGGGTGGGGGATAGGGAAAAGGAGTGAATTCTCTTTTGGACATGCTGAGGCGCTGAGATGTCTGAGATGCATCCAGGGCATCTCTCCGTTTCCAGTGAGGGCTCTATCGGCACCCGCACACCTACGCACACCTGCCCGCACGCAGGCATCTTCAGCTGCTACCTAGGAACTAGCTCCTGGCTCGGGTACCAGTGTAGGAAATGGAGCAGAAGCTAAGACTGGGAGCCACGCTGTGAGCTACAATGGGATCTCAGAGCTGTGCTTTGGAGGAAAAGTAGGGGGCACAGAAGGGCACCTCTGTGATTCTACTTCCCACATCTCCCCACCTAGAGTCCTCCTCTTCCAGCCAGGCAGCGGTTCCTCCCTAGTACGCAGATCAGTGGGGAAGCGGAACTCTTGATGTTGGCCCTGGGGGGTGTGAGCAGGCACTCTAAATGCAGCGAACCTAGGTGGATTGAGTTTCTACATAGGCTCATACACGAAAGATCCCAACCAGAGAACCACAACTACAGTAGTAACTCTTATTTATATAGTACTTTGTTTGTGAAGTGCTTTAACTATATTTATCTCATTTGATTTTTCACAACAACCCTGTGAGATGTCATAATTATCCCCATTTTACAGATGAAGAAACTGAGGCTTAGAGAGATTTAAAAGATTTGTCCAAGGTCATATAGCTAGTAAGCACTGGAGACAGGATTTGAATATTAGTCTTCCTGATTCCAAGTTCAGCTCTGTGGTGCTCCGTGTCTCAAGGTCAAAGGCTTTGCCAATAATAAAGTAACTTGGGTTGTCATTCGTTATCGTCTTTCTACCTTCTAAACCAAGCTTTTGAGGAAGGATTGCCAGACTTGGAATTGGGAGACCAGGGTAGTAGGCCCAGCTTTGTTGTCACCATCTAATGAGTTACATGGTTTAATTCCTCTCAGCCTCAGTTTTCCACATCTGTAAAATGGGGATATGGCCACCTACTCTACCCACCTTACAGAGCTGTTTTGAGGGTCTGATAAAATAATGAACCTAAAATGATTTGGGAACTCTAAAGTGCTTGCCATGGGCTTCCTGGCCTGTCTGTGTCCTCTCTCAAGCTGTCTGACCACTCTTCAGGCTCCCTCACTGGTCATTATCGACCTCCTATGCCTTAAGCATGAGTGACACCCCCATCTCCAACCCTCAAAAGGCCTCTTTTTTCTTCTCTTTCTCTATCAGGGGTTCTTTTGCAAGTCTGGTGGAACCTTCTCAGAATAATGTTTTTAACACACCAAATAAAACAAATTGGATTCCAGAGGAAATCCATTACATTGGAATAGAGTTATCAAAATGTTTCAATAAACAAAGTCACGGGTCCCAGGTTAAGAGCCTTGGTTTTATACTATAGTGCTTGTTGATCTCCTCATGTCCACACTGCCAGCTATCTCCACTCAGACAATTCGCCAATCTATATATCCAGCCCTCATCTCCCAAACGCTCCCAAATTACCTGTTAGCCATCACTACCCGGATTTCCCATCAGCCTCTTGAGCACAATGTGCCCCAAAGGAAATCGATTCTCTTCTTTCTTCTGTCTAAAATCCCACCATCCCCCTGGCCCCCAAGTCCCCAGCCTTGCCATTAACCTTAGCTCATCGCTCCTCACCCACACTCCAGTACCAATTAGTTGCCAAGTCCCCTCGAACCTCAGCTACCTCTCACATCTGCTTACTTCTTCCCACTCACACGCCAGTTCAAGCTCTCATCACCTCTCGTCTGGACTATTGCAAATAGCCTCCTAATGGGTCTCCCCGCTCCTAGAAGCTCCTTTCTGCAATCAATTTTCTGCACAGCTGCTGAAATCATTTTCTTCCTAAGGCCACGGGTCTGACTGTATCACTGCCCTGTGCAAAAACTTTCCACAGCTCTCTCCTGAAAATCTCCCCAGCCTGACATTGCAAGCACTCGACAGTCTGGCTCCAATTTACCTGTCCAGCTTTACTGCATGTCATCACTCCCTCTCACTCCTCTCCGTTCCAGCCACATCGGACGACCTGGCGTTCCCCCAACTCAACACTCTCTCTCCAGCTCCTGCACGTTCACCCAAGTCATGTCTTAGCCCTTGCTCCTTGTCCCTGCCTTGCAGAATCTTTCCCTTCCCTTCTGGGCTCCGTTCAAGTGATACACACTTTGTGATTTCCTTCCCTGATCTGCCCCAGTGGCTAGTAATTCTTCCCCTCCTGAAATTACCTTGGGTGTAGTACTGTGCATGTTGAATCTTCCCAGCAGAAAGTAAGCTCCCTGAGGCCAGGCATTGCTTTTCCTTTTTTGTCTTTGTATCTCCAGTGCTTGGCACAATACCTTGCATGCAGTGCTATTACTGTTGAGTCATTTCAGTCCTGTCTGACTCTTCAAGACCTCACTTGGGGTTTTCTTGGCAAAGAGACTGGAGTGGTTTACCATTTCCTTCTCCAGCTCATTTTACAGATTAAGAAACTGAGGCAAACAGGGGTAAGTGACTTGCCCAGGGTCACACAGCTAGTAAGTGTCTGAGGCAGGATTTGAACTCAGCCTTCTTGACTCCCCATCCAGTTCTCTATCCACTGTGTCACCTAGCTGCGAAGATTTTAACCCAAATCTTCTGACTTCAAATCCACTGTTCTTTCCACTAAGCCACATGCCCTCCTTTATACAAATAAGGCAACTGAGGCACAGAGCTATAAAATACCCTTTCAGGGTCACACAGTGAATCAATGAGGTCAGGCTATCTGTATGTGGCAAAGAAGGAGAATAGGAAGAAGTTCCCTCAGGCTGTGTTCCCAGTGAGATGTCATGGTGCCTGATGGAAGGCAACAAGGACCTAGTGTGAGGGGCTAGGGAGGGGAGACCTGGACATCTGTGGTCAAGGTGAAGAAACAGCGATTGTCCACATTGATAACAACTGACCAATGAGAATGATACAGAGATATGAGCTCTGTGTCTCTGTCTCTCTCCTTCTCTCCTGTACTTTCTGTCTCAGTAGGCCCACTCAGAGCTGCACCAAAACCTCCTCCATTCCAGAGACGACCAATGGGAAAACCCCAGTCATACCATAAGACCCCAGATACCACAGGATCCCAGAGGCAAGAAGCACTAAGCACCCAGGCAACTGTCCTGGCTGTTCCCTCTCCATCCCAGGCAACTCACACATTTTGGGGAGCAAATAGGGCACGCAAGCCCCTGTTGGGAATGGGTACCCTGGGTTGGGGGCTAGGCTCCTCATGGAGAGGTCCAGGATGGAGAAGGGACACTCGTTCTGTCTCTACCTTTAGCAGACAGGCATCAATCTCATAACCCAACCCCGCCCCCCATCAAAGTTGTTCTGAGTGACATGGTCTCCCATTCCTCTGCTAGGTCAAGGGACTCACTGTGATGGGCAGGTGTCCCTCCGAGGTGCTCAGTGACTCGTTGACTGAGCAGTGAATAACTCTGTCCGAGACAATCTGGATCTCACAGGATGTCTGGCCAATCTTCACGTGATACTCTTGACACTCCAGACCCAGGTTGTCCTGTTCTTTCTGATTTAAGGAAGGAAGAGAAGGGCAAAGAGAGGGAGAGAGAAGAGAAAGGGAGAGGGGGAGAGGACAGAGAGGGGGAGAGAGGGAGAGGGGGAGAGAGAGAGAGAGAGAAGAGAAAGGAGAGGGGGAGAGGACAGAGAGAGAGAGAGAAGAAGAGAAAGGGAGAGGGGGAGAGGACAGAGAGGGGGAGAGGAAGGAAGGAGAGAGGGAGGGAAGGAGAGAGAGAGAGAGAAGAGAGGGAGAGGATAGAGAGGAAGAGAAAGGAGAGGGGGAGAGGACAGAGAGGGGGAGAGAGGGAGGGAGAGAGAGAGAGAAAGAGAGTTTTTTACAAGTTTAAATGTAATAATAAATATTAAATAAATATTTATTAAATATATACAATAAAACTTTATTTCAAGATGGAGAAATCATCCTTAGCTCATAGGCTGTACAAAACCAAGCAGGGGCTAGGTGTGGCCCAAGGAGTCAGAGTTTGCTGACCCCTGGCCTAGAGCACTGAGAGATTAAGGGACTTGCCCAGGGTCACACAACTCAGGATGGGTCTCAAGTAGGACCTAAATGCATCTTCCCAGCTCCAGTGTCATCTCTCCATCTACCACATTGCACTCTTTCTCTTAGTGCTATAAGGGATCTTAAAAATCAAAGGATCATGGATAAGGTAGGAAAGGATTTTAGAGATGACGTAGTCCAATCCCTTAATTTTACAAAAAAGGTAAGTAAGGCCCAGGGAGAGGAAGTAAGTCACCCTTGGAACTGAGGGAGACTTCACCTTGTCCAATCCCTGCTTTCCAGGATGAAAGGTGTTATTATGCCCATTCTATAGATGGGACAACTGAGACCCAAAGGATTTAAGTGACTTTTCCAAGTTCTTGCTAATTAGAGGCAGGATTGGCCCCACAAGCCAGGTGTCTCCGGACTTGAGAAGCAGGAGAAAGCACACACTGCCTCTGGAATTAGAAGAACTGAATTCATATCCTGCCCACGATACTTACTGCCTTCTTGTTAGTCACTCGGTCCCTTAGCCTGTCTGGGCCTCAGTTCCCCCATCTGTAAAATGAGGGGGGTTGGACTACATGGCCTCCCCAGTCCCTTATTGCCCTACATCTAGACTCCTAGGATGCAACTAAGTTGTAGGCTCCACGAGGCCTTGCTCTCTGAGTCCCCTGTGGTCCAGCCCCTGGGTCAATCTGAAAGCCTTCAGTGTTTCCCGAAACCCTGCTCCCCTCCCCTCTCCCCTGTTCCTCTTTGCCTGTTTTCCCTCCTCTTAGACTTTGCCCTGTTTTTTACCTCTTGGCCAAGTGGGATAAGGGAGAAATAACGCCCTTGCCCTCCCTTTATGGTGAAGAACTGAGAATCCAGCCTATTGGACCCTGGGCCAGGTGAAGAATAACCAGGCTGGGAGCTGGCAGGGGCAGCAAGAACTCCCCTGTGTTCTCTCCCCCTCTCATGGTCTTGTAGAATTCCTTGGCTTTTCTGCACCAGCCAGCTGGTGCCAATGTGGGTGCCGCATTTGCTGGGGGGCAGTTCTGACAGTGAATCTCTGTTTCTGCCCCTGGGTGGGGGGGGGTCTATGAAGGTCAGGTGTATAGGTAGGGGTGCCGGGGTAGCCATGGCACTCCAGAAGGAGCCCTCAACCTACAGGGGATGCCTGGGTCTGGTCGCTCCCTAGGACTGCTTCTGAGGGCCACATAGTGACCCTTAACCCAACCGCAGCCTGACCCTTGAGTCAGGCTGGGAATTGACTCTAACCCCAGGCTGGCCAGAGGACAAATCTGTGCCATCTGTTCTCTAGGAGGGCCAAGCAAGAGAGCGTGGCCATCCCCGCTGTTGAGCATGTGTCCTGCCTATGGGAGGCCAAGCATTGCTCTGTTTGAGGAGGCAAACAGCTCCTGCCAGCCATAGGGGTCCAGGGGCGAAACTAAGGAATCTGGGTGTCTCGAAGAGGGTTACTGTTCTGGCAAAACAACGGTGGAGGAGCCAGTTTTCCTCTGTAGCTGAATATTTCAGGCTCTGGACTCCTTGAAAGGATGACAGGGTCATCCATGCAGAGCTTGGAAGTCTAAGCACCAGAAAGGAGACTGAGGTCTAAGAAAATGATTTGTCCAAGATCACACTTATAAAAGTAAGAGTCAGAGCTAGTTTCCTCTGAATCCAAATTCAGGGCCACCAGCACCGTCCTCTTCCTCCCTATTACCACTACTACTATGCTCCTCCCACTTCCCCTTCCTGTGGGCCGCACTATTGCTCACATGGATGACCAGGGTGAGAGGCTCCCCCGGATGGTGTTTAATCCATTTCTCCCTCTTGGCAGTGGAAAACTGGGGGTCAGGCAGATACTCCAGGCTGAACCTGCTGCTGGGAAGCATATTCTTTGGCTCTCCAGGGTCTTCCATGGCCACCTGCTCATCCTCGTATGGTTGCCCATTAATGAAAAAGTTCACAGGTGCCGACTTGTTGGCTGTGGCGCCAGGGGAGGGGCAGGTGATGAGGGTGGAATTAAGAACCTTGCAGAGCTGAAGGAGAGACAGAAACAGGTCAATATGTTGATGAGGATAGGGAGGGACGGGGGAGAGATACGGACAGCCAGACAGAGAGATTGGGAGATACACAGAGGCAGAGAAAGGCACAAGGACAGAGACATAGACGTCAAGGTAGAAATAGAGATAGACACAAGAATAAAGACACAGAGAGTAGGATGGAGAGACAGAGAGAGACACAAGGATATAGAGACACCAAGATGGGAACATTGAAAGACAGAGGCAAAGAGAGAGGGAAAGGAACATAGAGGCAGATAACAGAAATATAGACAAAAAGAAGGAGACAGAGACCAAGGGGAAGAGGTCTGGGTCAGCCAAGGCTTTTGGCACCAGGGTCTGTAGCTCTGGCGGCCCTGAGTCAGAGCAGGGTGGCAAAGAGGCAATGACGTCTTTGGGCTGGGCAAGACGGATGCCAGTAGAGACCATTGATCACACCCATTTGTCTCCCTGGGGCTCCACCTCCCCTCTCTGGGGCACCATCCCCCACACAGAGGAGGAGGATGGAGCCATCTTCACTCAGCCCACCCTGAAAGCCGCCTGGCTTTTCTCACACTTCCTCCTTGACGAGAAAAACTCACTCTCCATCTGTCCCTTCCCTCCCCCTCCCCGCCTCATCGCTCTGTGCTCCTGGTATCTACGTCTCAGTCTCCCTGCCCATGATCTCCCCCACTCTCATCCCATTTCTGCTGGAATCCCTCTGTTCTTCCATCCACGCTCCCACCCTCCCCCAGCATCTCCCACCTCCTGGCCTTTTTGACTCACCGTCTGCTCCTTGCCAATGTGATTCACCATCATGGACACATTCTGCACCATGTCGAACCGACTGCCCTCCACAGTGATGGTCCTCCCTCCACTGAGCAGAGAGAGCAGGGTTTGACAGATGAGGGACGTCCACACAGGGACAGGGCAGGAGTGGGGAGGAGAGGCACAGAAGAGACAGTGATAGGGGTGAGATGGGCTGGGGTAGGCAATTACGGTGGCACCCCAGATTTAGAATGAATGGCAGTACTGCCTAATGGACAGGGTATTGAATTTCGAGTCAGAAAAGACCTGACTCTAAATCCCATCTCTGACGCTTACTTAGCTGTAAGACCCTGGGTGTTCTCTTTGGTTAGGCTGCAGGAAGAACTGAGTTTGGATCTGGCCTCAGATACTTAGCTGGGTGACCCTGGGTAAGTCACTTAACCTCTGCCTCAGTTTCCTGATCTGTAAAATGAGGGTGTTAGACTATGATATCTGAGGTTCCATGCTGATCTGGGGCTTGTTAAGTTAGGATTGCAGGAGAGAAGAGAAATAAACAGTGTCTCAAGGCAGTCCTGCTCATCTTTCCCTACCCCACAACAGCAGTGCTGCTGTCCATCCTGGCACACTCCCTCTTCAGGCAGAGCTGGAGAGAGAAACCTGTCAGCCCAAGCAATTGCAATGATCATTAGCCTTTCTATGTGTAGGAGCTTTTATATCAGTGATCTAAATCCTTCCCACCCCTGCTCTGGCCAGCTGTCAGTGCCTTCCCCACCAAAATCACCTGGCATGGACTTTGTACATCTCTGGTATCTGCTTGAGTTTCTACATGTTTCCTCTGAAAGAATGAAGGCAGTGACTGTCTCACTGTTTTTGTATCCACAGGAACTAGCAAAGTACCTGGCACATATTAGGTACTTAATAAATGCTAATTTCTGGATTGATTGAATTCTTACAACTACCTTTTGAGAAAGACAAGCCTCTTCCCTCCTTTACAGATGTCAGAATTGAAGGCCAGAGCAGTGACTGGCCGAAGCTGCCAAGGAGTTCGTAGCAAAGACAGGCCATGGTCTGGGTTTTATTCTCTCCCTCCCTTTCTCCCTTCCTTCCTCCCTCTTTCTCCCCCTTTGTTTCCCTCCCTCCCTCGGTATCTCCATCTCCATCTGTGTCATTCTCTCCCTCCATCTCTGACTCTCTCTCCCTCCCTCCATCTATCGTCATCTATGACTCTTTCTCTCCCCGTCTCTCTGTCCCTATCTCTCTCTCTCTTTCCCTCCCTCTGTCTCTCCATCTCCATCAGTCTCTTTCTCTCCCTCCTTCTGTCTCTCTGTCCCTACACTCTCTTCCTCTTCTTCTGTCTCTCCATCTCCATCTGTCTTTTTCTCACTCTGTCTCTGTCTCTGACTCTCTCTTCCCCCTCCCTTTGTCTCTCTATCTCCATCTATGTCTCTTTCTCTCCTTCCCTGTCTCTCTCTCTCTGTCCCTCCCTCCCTCCGTCTCTCTCTTTCTCTTCTCCCTCCCTCTGTCTCTCTACCTCCATCTATGTCTCCTTCTCTCTCTCCCTCTGTCTCTT